ACATCAACACTTTGTATTTAAGGGAGTAGGTCCCAAGTATTTGGGACGTATCCAATCAATGTTAACTATTAGGTAACTTCAAGCATCTACATGACGTAAACACCTCTATAGAAACATATAAATAAAGACTTCATTTATGGTGTTGCTATGTGCAATAGGCAGAAAAGTTCTGATGATTTAGCGAGTTAGATCAGCCTACATCATGCAAGTCCTGTTTGAGGTAAGGTTTAGTTACTATGAAAAACTTCCCTAACTAATAATAAGCCTGTTACTTTTCTATTTACTTTTTTGTTGTTGTTTGCCTCAAAACAATAGCATTAGAAAGGAAATTCCTCATGCTCTCCTATATTACATTTTAGAGAAAGAGAAGAAAAAAGCCTGGAAAAATGTCACTTTAAGCGAGATAACTAATGCCTTCAAGTATCTATGCACTCCAGATGCTATCTTGTTAACTGTGCTTTAAACCCCTTTCATAATCACTTCACAAATGCCTTGGAAGTACAGTCACTCAGACATTAACATGAAAAATACTAAACACAGGGAAACCTGTGTGAAGCCTACCTGCAAAGAACGCACTCCAAGAACAGCTAAGAATTGGAAGTGCTCTTCAATCATAAGGGGGAAGGAAACTGCAGCTGCCTGAGGATTCTGTGGGCAACAGTTTCAAGGGGTTCTTTGCACAGAATTTGAAAGGCCCCAGAATTTCAGTTCTCATAAAATGTGCACAAGGATAATGCCTTCTTGAAAGTTAAAGCAAGAAATGTATTTTTCCAAGTAGCAAAAAGAATTTTAAAGCATATCCCCATTAATACAGACAGCATGCATTTTAGCACTTTTGTACTTTTAAAAAAGAACTTTTTAGAAAGCAAAACAAACCCTGCGTTTCTCTGAGATCAAAGAGAGAACAATGCTAAAGTTACTATGGCCTCATGTTACAGAAACAGCTTTCTGCTGCTGGCTACAAATTCCTTCAATAAAAGTAAGCACCATCCAAACCCCTATTTTTATATGTATTATGCGAATTCCTGAATCCTCCTTGAAAATTACGCACAGATGGAGCTCTAAAAATCCTAGACGTATCCCATAGAAACACAAGAGAAAGATCTCCACCTACTCTTGCGTATCCCATCATCACGGACATTGCCCACTACCAGTCCCCGTCCCCCCCCCTACTTCTTGCAAGACCTCGGTATTCCACGGCCAGCAGATGCAGCGTGGTACAAGTAAGAACAGGTCTGAGAAGAGGGAACTCATCGCGCCACTTCCCTGCTTCCCCGGTGAATCAACCACCTCCTCCTCCCCTGTCTCACCACCACTCCATCATAAAATTGTTAATGAAAACGCTCCAAGCCCTGGCAACCGTTCTAGAGTTGGGGAAACACATGCACTTAACCGCGATCTTTGTCACACGAAAGGAAAGTGTTAGAAGGACAGGAAAAAAAAAAAACCCCAACCAAAAACCCCAAACCACCCCCATTGTGCCTCAAGAACCGTGTGGCACATCCAGCACTGCGCGGTATTTCAAGGACACGGGAGAGTCAAAAGCCCGGGGGGGGGCGGGGAGCGTTTCTCGGCTAGCCTCCTGCCCCGACACACGCCATGTCCGCCCCCGCTTAAAACATTTCCCTTGGTACCCAGAAAAGGGCACTGGCCCGGCAAAAGCGGCCGCGCACTGCTCCTGAACCATCGCCAGGCCTGGGCGCCGGCCGGCGGAACCCGGCTCCTCTCTCGCCGAGGGAACCGGAGATGCAACCGGCGCCGGGCCGGGCCGTCAGAGCCGCGCCAGGAGCGCCCACGGGCCGCGGAAAGAACAAGGCCCTACGGGGACACACGCCACTCCCCCCCCCCCCCCAGCGCTCAGCCGCCTCAGGGAAACCGGCACGCCAGCGGGGGGGGGGGGGGGGGGAAGGAAGAAGGAGAAGAGGGCGGCCGGACTCGCCGGTACGGCGAGGAGGAGGAAAAGTGCCGGGGGAGACCGGGGGGGAGGTTAGCGGCGGTACTCACGGAGTGCAGCGGTCGCTGTACTCGTTGGCGATGGTCTCGATGCCGCCGCTGCGCGCCACGCCGATGTAGCAGTTGAGGAAGCCGAGGTCGATGCCAACGACGGACATGGCTGCGCCCGGTGCTTCCCGCTTCCCCCGCCGGCCTGCGACTTACCGCGGCAGCGGCGACCGTCTGGGTTGCTGGGAGCCGGCTCCTCGCCCGCCTCTCCCCCACTGCGGAGCACCGGCCACCAACCGGCGGTTACTCTCCTCTGCGCAGGCGCGCTGCGCCGGCCGGCGGGGAAGCCGCCAGGCGCCGGCTACGACTTCGGCACTTTCCGGAAGGGCTCGGGCGCCGCCGGCTGCGGGCGGCTCGCGTTCGAGAAAGATCTGGAAAGGGACGGAGAAGGCGTTATCTAGAGCGACACCCCGCGCCCCGACGTCAGAACTGCGGCGGGCCACGCCCCCGACCCCCTTAAAGGAGCCGGCGGGCAGAAACGGCGGGCGGGAGGTCCGGCCACGTCCCGCCCGCCATTTTGATGTGAAAGCTGGTTGCGGCACGATATATAATTTAACGGGGCGATAACAGCCCTTCCTTCCCCCGCGGGTCCCGGAGCTGCCGGCCCTGTGGAGCCGGGCGGCGTCGAGAACCCCCTCAGTCTCGAGGCTGCGGGGGGGGCTAGGCCTGTATCAGCCCCGAAAGTGAGGGAAAACCGGGCGTTCTGTCCCAGAGAGGTGGGGATTGCCGCCCCTTGGGTCCCACCTTTCTCCAGCACGGAAGAGCCGCTCCCCAGTTTGCGCATACGTATGCCCAGAAGTGCCCTCACTTTCTGTAGGTTTTCTTTCCTAGAAAGAAGACGTCTGGCAACCTGAGTATCCCTACTGCAGTTACTCCATTTCTTTTTTTTTTTTTTTTGGGGGTGTAATTTTAAGTATGGAGGACTGGAACTCCACAAAAACATACCAACTGGCTGGAAAAGCACCACTAAGTATTTATTTGCTTCTAAAAATGACATCTCGGTTTCACGCAGCAATATGACATCTTTCTGACACAGCTCATGGCACGGCGCTGCTCAGTCTTGTTCCACTGGAGAGACTAAAAATAAGTGCTAAACCACTAAACTAGATTCACATCCCTGTCAAGTTTTGATTATCTTCCCCATGTGTTATTGTTTCAATGGTCTACTTCACAACTAGAATTTTCTAGTGAAGACAACAGATGCCGTTTCCCTCTAAAACCCCCACAAGCAAGAGAAGCCACTGTTTATAGAGTTAGTTGCAACACAGCTAATATTTATCCGTACCAGCAATTAACCACCTCATTTTCCGTGCTGGTATTAGGATCAGAAAGGCAAAGCGGGTCCAGTCCCACCTGCAGTAGCCAGGGAGACAAATCCCAGCTCAGGTTTCTGCTGTGCTGCTTCTCTCCCTGTTACAAAACCAGTTCTCGGTGATTCAAGGTATTGCAGCATCCCGCTTCTGCAGCACCACCTGAGGCTAACTCCTGACTGAAAAGAAACCTTGGGCCAAGAGATTATATGCAAATGTAGCTATGCAACATTACTAAGCCAGGCCCAGAAGAAATTGTGCAACCTTGCAGCAGGGGGACAAGCCATCACTGCAGAAGTGCTGGCATGTCTCGCATCTCAGCAGGATAAATCAGCCTGTACGCAGCTTCGTGCTGCCACTGCAGTGTTGTTTCTGGCAACCGAACCAGCTGGTTTCAAGCTGCAGTCAGGAACGCAGACGTGTGTAAACATTCATGATAGTGACAAGAAAGTGCCAATGGACTTTTTATTTGCTTTGTCATGAGTTAAGACTGTTAGGAGTTGGGAGATGAGATCGTAAGCAGCATAAGCCAAACTCTTAAAGCATTTCATAAGTCTTGTTCATGTGCTTCGGCGTCATACTGATTGCCCGGTCTGCGAGTGTGAACAAAATTCAGTCAGATCAGATTAGCCACAAACTTGCCTGAGCATATCCCCCCAATCGTCTACTGTCACCGTAGCAATCTGGGAACTGGTATTGTCCAAGTCTTTCCAATTCTTGGCCTGTGGATCACATCTGACTTTTTAGAAGCCAAATAAATATTTGTACTCACTCAAGGAGCTAAGGGTTTTGTGTGAAACTTAACGGTTGTGTAGAAACATTAGGAACACTGCTAGCCTTAATTTCTTTGAAACCAAACAATTGAAATAAAGGCCTCCTAAATGCTTTCTTTGGTCCCTAAGTTATCAATGTTGCACAAGGTTTGGCTGCTTTTTCCTTTCCCTATTGAAAATTATTACCTCAGAAATAAAAATAAGAATCTCCTCCTGTCTGCACAGTGTAAGATTTATCCTCAATACTGAGAGGATACCTCTCAATACCTCAGCCATTTTAAGTTTCCTCAAGAAATAACATATTGAGTGTTCTAAGTCTCTAGGTGCTTGGGTCTCCATATCTTTGGGCTATGTTTTGTCCTGAAATGCTGCCAGCCAGACTACAGTCTTCTCAGTGTTGTTTGAGGGATGGGACAGAGAGAAAAGTGACATGCTGTATTTCTTAATGCCTATTAATTTTTTTTTAAAGTAAACTCCTTTGCTGTCTTGACTTGTGCTTTAAAATACCATGAAAACACATCAACAGGCTAGAAACAGGTTTTCTTTTTACTGTGGTTCACAGAGAAGCAGTAGTGCACTGCTGATGTGTGTACACATACTTACAATGGGCTCTGCTGACAGGCTAGGGAAACTGCTGTTACGCAAACATACTCGTGTACCTGCCGTAATTTAAAATTCAAGATGTGTAACATTCAGTATGAATAAAATTGAAACATTTAGAATTTTAAACAAGAGGCAAGTATTTTCTTGGATTTGTTTCTTGAATGAAACTAAGACAGTGCTCTTTAGTTCCCTCATAACAAATTATTTAATTTAGTACATGCTTAGTCACAAAAACATCCAACAAATAATTTCTTAAAAGTATTGTTTGTATAACATTTAAACTAAAAATATGCTATGCAAACAATGAGAATTGTCATGAACACTGTACAAACGATAGATGTCCACTCACTATTTTAATCAGATCCTGAACTCTCTGAAACATCAAGATTAAAAAGTCCTTAATTTTGTCATAAAGAACTAGCTCTAAGGCACCTCCTGTTCCACAAAGGATGTTGGAGAATGCTTCGCAGAAGAAAGCACTAAGCCCCTCTCGATTGTATACTTTCATAAAGCAGTCAATGGTTCCTTTAGACTGACGTTCAGTCTCCCTGCTCTGCACACAAATAATATAATAAGGACAAATCATTACTGCACTGCGCTGAGAAAGAAACTTAGATGCCCAGGAAAATTTGTCTTTCTTTAGTAAAGAACACTAAGGAACTTGTTCTTAATGTTTCACTTTCTGCAAAGGAGTGATTTTTTTAACTAATGTTTATGTGATGTAATGCTCTGTTAGCTGGTTCCAATAGCTAAATTTAGAAAGGTTGTGATCCTTCTTCTGACGCTTCTTTTAAGCTTTACTGGGCAAGTAGAAGGCTTAGGAATTAAATGAGGTCACTCCAGTCCTAAGGGTGCTCTGAATTGTTTCAATGCTATTAAAACTTCCACAGCTCATTTTCTTCCTTCTTTAGCACCACCGAAATATTTTTATACCAAGTAGATTTCAGTTCGTTAGTAATCAGTAGAGTCCTCTAAAAAATGTTAAGGTCTTGACAGGCACAACAATGGAAAAACATAGGAAGGCTAAGGAAGAGCGCTGTCCAGTTTTCATCTAGCCCACCTTGTTTCTGAGCATAAATTTGCTCAACAAACAAAAACAAAGCAAAAAGAAGGATTTGTTAGAGACCTCAGCACCATGTTCACTAAAACTTGCTTCAGGTGCTTACAGGTGAAGGAAATAAAGGCTGACAAGCAGCAAATGTCCATGTACACACGCATATGACCATTTCTGGACAAGTCAGAGCTTAAAGTACTGAACCCTCCCTTCAGCTTTTTCCAAGTGTAGTATGACTGAAAATCACACCAACTCCTTTAATGTTTGAAAATTTCAACAGCAGAGTCGAGACAGCCCAGAGGAACACTGTCGTAGCTGTTCCTGCACAGCAGAGCACCTGGGAAATGCTCTTGCCCACTGTGGAACTCAGCATAATGACGACAGCAAATCTCTCAGATACTCTGAGTAACACCACAGATCTGACAAAGTGTTTTTTTGTGTATGTGCTTGGTGAACTGTCAGACAGTTCCTGTTTGGGAACTGCAGTCTCTTCAGGATTTGAGGACTGGATTAGGAACTGGCACTTGTTTTTGTCTTCACTAGCAAAAAACAAGTACACTTTTCTTTTGAGAGATTAATCCAAAATCCGTATCTTTAGGTGAAATTCTACTGGAAAGACGACACTAGTTTTTTTACTTAATGGGGAAGATTTCCCTTAAAATATCTACAACTTCAGTCCACCTGCAATATCAAGGTTAAGGTTCTAGAGTCTATAATGGCAGAAAGATAATCTTGCCTACTTCAGGCCTTTGTGATATACTCTGCAGCTAATAAAGTGACCTTTGAATTTTCTGATGAAGACAGTGTTATATTTTGTTACATCTTCTGTTAGGAATCAGGGTATGAGATCACTATAGATTTTTCCTGAACATAATAAATGCAGGAAATACATCTATGATAAATATTCACATAAATCAATATTAAAAAAGCATAGTAACGTAGCTAGAAAGCATTTAAAATATTTTGGTTTGCATCAACATGAATATATGCAAATGAAAGGATATTTGGTAATGGTTATTACTGCTTAGCTGACAGAAGTCAACTTTACTGAAAGCAGTAACTGTACTGTGCTCATTATTTCAGACCATTATCCCATCCGGCAAATATACTTTTAACTGAAGAAATAAAAGTGGCTATATTAAATTCAGGGCTTCCTCTTGGATCAGAATAAGCGTCATGGTAAGAAATTGATAAAAATCGTACTAATCAGCTTTATTTGTACCTGAAGCTTTAGAACTACATGAATGAAACAAGGACACCGCATTAAATATATTTATACATCCACAACATATATACCTACTCTCATTCTCATCTTTTGTGCTAGTAGACCCATTATCTTATTTCATATGATTATAATGTATGTTTTTAATAATCTTGATGCTATTCTCTATCCTCATGGTAAGTTAATTACCAGAAATACAGGTGATTCTTTGATAAGGCCTCAAGAGGCACAGCACTTACGAATAAAGACAGCATTAACTGTAGGCTTACTGCTGATTAAGCAGATAAAGCAGAATCTGAAGACAGTGAAATCATATTTAGTCTGAAAAGAAGTCAGTAGTGCTAATGGTGTTTGCCCACTGTAAGCTTCAAGGTTTCTGATATTTAGGACAGATTACCAGAGGTATGCAGGCATTACGTAAGAATCTAAGTATCCCCTGAGATTCTTTGAAAGCACCTAAGCAAGTTCTGTGCCAGCATTTATTCGGATTTTCTTTTGACTTTCTGGAATCCTGGGAGACAAGAAGATACTCTTGAAACAAAATGTAGAGATACTTCTTTGGAACTAACAACTCCTTTCTATTATCAGATGGCAAAACCTCCTCAGGGATGCAGGGAACAAGGTCCTGATTTTTCAAGAGTGTTTTTGTGGGTTTTGATTTTGTGTTTGAGGATGATCTTCACAGCAAGAATTTATCACATTAAATGTACTTCAAATGCTACTGAACCACCTAGTAAAATTACCTAATAGCTAGCAACAAGATCCAACATTAATTGCTAATAATATACTATCATATCCATCACATGCTGAGAAGTAATTTTCAGCTTGTACTGAGCTTTGAAGATTACTGATTCTACCTCACACCTGAAGAACAGCTGTGTGCCACAAAGGTTATTTTTCTAATTGCATTAGCTGGGATAATAAAGGATATTATTGTACCCACAAACCTGTCTCCAAATATCTGGCTTCTGAGTAGGAAAAAGAAAACAGATGCTGTCTTTCTACTAAAAGCTCTCACAAAGCTGTGAACTGTTTTACCAGACTCCCACAATACCATTATGGAATTTTTCTTCTTGTCTTTCTGAAGATGTTTCCACTTTTTTCCCTGAATAGAGTCTTGCCTGCTGTAAGGCTATACAGCGCTTCAATTAGTACATTAAACTTCAAAAATCTAGTAAGTAATTTTCACAAAAGAATTGCAAGTTAGACGGTACCTGCATGCATCATCCTGTGTCTCCTGACAGCGTCAAAAGGGTAAGACAGCATTCCTGAGCAAGTAATCACAACTTGAGCAACAAAAAAGGAAACAATGAATGGAGTTTGCTTTGGATTTGGCAATAATCCCTGCAAAATAAAACAAAAATGGAAACCTGTACAAATTCCGTAATATATGTGTCAAATCCAGCAGATATCAAGTATAGTTTTGATCATTTCTGTTGTTAATCCTACTGTGAAATGACTTGGCTCTTCAGTAATATACTCTATTGAGCAGAGTAACTGTAAAGACAAAAGCTGTAACTAGCACCCTCATTAGTTCATAATAAATATTTAAAATATGATAAAGATTTAAAACACATGCATGTTTGTTTGTAAAAGCTACCTTAATGGTGTCATAACACCCAAAACGGGAGGCTTGGTATACAATGATTCCCTTTATGGAAATGCCAAAACCCTGGTACAGGCCAGTAAGTCTATCTGCTTTTGCAATTTTAATAATACAGTCACCAAGTCCCTGGAACTGTCGCTCAGCAGCACCTAATATAAAAGAAATTTATGCACATGGTTATGCTTTACAGAAACCCTTCTCTTTAGTACAAACTACTCTGCATGACTGAAACACTTAACTTTATCAAAATTACATGAAAAACATAGTAGATCATTGTTTCCTCCACTTATGAACGAAGCATAAAGAAGAAATCGAGACACATGGATGGATGAAAACAGTTTATTCAAATAGATAGTGGTATCCAGTTGCTGAAACACTTTCCGGTCAAATAACTACCATTCCAATATTGTCCTCGTTCAGCAGAGTGCTTATGTATGAATTCTCTTACCCTCTCTCTGAAAAGAATTTTTTCTACATAATACCATGCTTTCACTTCCTCCCCCCACATTCATACTCAAATTTATTAGAAGTGTTACTCGTTTCAGCTTTTCCCTATAGTGGAACACTAGCCACAAACTGTGAGAAAGTTAAAGAAATCAATTTTTTATATCTGTAGATTCTTCATCTGTTTCTGCATTCCACAGGTAACTACACCTAAGCTCTTAGGATTCTCTACAGGTAAAAACACAGCAAGCAATAAACCGATCTTTGAAAGAACTTCAAACTGTACACCTTCTTATACCGAAGGTATCATGAAAATATAAATTTGGCCCAAGTACTGGGCACAGAAAGCAATAGGTAGAGTCAAGCAGCCAATTCCTAGGACAACCCTGCACAGCACAGACACCAACTAGAGTTAACTTGTCCTGTTATAGGCAAATCAGGAAAGCCAACAACAATACAGAAAGCAGAGATTTCTTTCTTTCTGCTACAAAGCCTTCCACATACTGTTTTCAGGAAATCAATTTTATCTATCTGAATGAATGAAACATACATCTAGATACATATACTACCCAAAAGCTTTGTTGAAAATCTTCAGTTGATACTCTTGATATAGAGCAATGATGGTAATAAGGTCTTTAAATGACACCCCATAAAACCACAGGTCAGCAAAAATTAAACTCCCCTAGTTTGTGGCATCAAGAGTTGGCAAAATTCAGTTAAACTTTTCCATACAGAATCTAAAAATAACGCAAAACTTTGAGAGATATGCTATAGCACTATTTCCAAAGAATCCTCTTTCACTCACCTTCATCCTCTCCTTTTCAATAAAGATCTTACATTTCTTAATACTTTTAAGTTTGTAATTGTGCAATGGTAAATTTTTAAGTAATAGAAAGAATTCTAATACTGTTGAATATTGGTCTACCTCTAAAATGAAGTAAATATAAACAACCTGAGGCACATCAGACAGAACTGAAACTGCCATTTAAAAGATTTCACTACCTTTCCCAATACCAGCAGCTAAATTAGTTCATGTGAAGTCTTAACGGGTATACCACACACATGGATGTTGCTCCTGCTGCTCCACCAGAAGCCAGCTTTGCCAAAAACCATTTCCAGAACTGAAACACAAAAATTGCTGTATACACTGACCTTTGTTGTAGATACTAAACAAAACCTTAAAGCATGCAGAGTAAGAGCTATCTAAAACATGCATTATTTACAAAATAATAAAGAAACATGGCAGTCTCAGAGTAAGACCTGTATTGGGGTATTTCAAAATTTCAACTTGTAAAGATTCCCTGGCTATTCTTACATTTATTAAAAAAATATTTATAAGCTATTTTCTTTTTCAACTTCTGAATTATATGGTGTTCCTGTGACCCAGATAGCAGATAACATCTTTCTCATCTATACCAGTCCTTCGTAACAACTGGCCTGTGTATCAACTTGATACACAACAATTATGCATCAACTCTCCATGATGGGGGAATGGGGAAACATGAAAATCAAAGTACTTACTTTCACTGTAGCCCATACTATTTACCAAACAAGAAAAAGCTAATCACAGTAGAAGAAACATTTTGCATAACATTTTTAGGTGGCGATATCTGACATAGCTCTGTTGACTTAAACAGCGTCACAGGTACATCTTGTGTAGTAAATGCAGACCATGTAGATGTACCCAAAATGACGACTTATTTGCTGCTTCAGTAACAGCAACAGTAGAGCTATAGTAGTATGGAGTCCAGCATAGCTTAACTGCCCTAATATTCTATTAGTTGTACAGAAGACTTTGCAACCTGCCTTAGCTCATCTTGCTGCATAAACTGTTGCTACTTGTAGTAGCAAGCCTGAGAGGAGGCAGCTGCAATCTGAAGATGCTTGACTGTGACAGTATTACCTTCAATAGCAAGTGTCTGGCACACAGATACAGCCTGTCTTCTTTAACAGAAGTTCCTTTGCAGTTTAGTTCCCACAATCTAAAGGTTTTAGTCATTATTATTTTTTTAAAGATAACCCAGCTAAGTAAAAACTAATGCATGGAACCATATTGTCTTTCCCATTTTCTATCCTGCACAAAACATGTAAAAAAGCATCCAAACACGCTGAGCTCCAACATTGGACATGCTACTCTGCTAAACACTATACTTCTAAAGAAATTAATCTTGATTGCTATTCATGGAATGTTTCTAAAATTTGAGGCACAAGCTCATACACATGTAAGCCATCTGGAAACACTTCTAGGAGATGGAAAGGAGATTTCAAGAACTATAAACACGGTTATTTACATCATGCATGTTTTACTTTTTCCACTGTAAGAAAGGAAAGAAAACAGCAACCTTAAACTCTTTACATACAAAGTGACTGTAATTGAAAAAGGACTGCTTAAGAATTTGCATGCAATACCAGGAGATTAATCAAACTTTAATGACTGACAGCATTCCTCCTGGTCAGCACCACCAGAAAAGCCTGTGGCAAGAAAAGTTTCTGGCACTGCAGTAAAAAACTGTCAGCAAGAGAAAGCACAGAACACTGGATTTTTGTTTAAATTATCAAAACCTAACCAAAGAAATCCTAAAACAGATAACCTAAGACAGACACAAATAAAACAGATTTTCCAGCTATTTTCACATGAAACAAATTAGATATGAAGAACTTATTTTCCATTCTGCTGATATGAATGAATTTTATGTAATTTGTCAAATGCCAATATCAACATTTCACATTCCGAGACCAAGATTTCTTGTAATTAATTCCATGGGTGTAGACCCCTATGTCTTTCAATCCATCCAAGTTAAGGGACCTTCCCCAAGTACACAGTATTGCAAGGTAAGGCAGCATAGCCCAAAAGTTTAATTGCCTTTTGGAGCTATACCCTAAAACTGCTACTTTTCTGGTGCATTGTACAAAACTAAGTTCTTAAAATGCATTAACTATTGATATGTTTCTAGCCTTACATGTAGAAAGAAATCAGTTTCCAGTGTGAAGCATTACTTATCCACAGCAGTAATATGTGCTTTACTATCTGTAAGTTTTTTCTGACACTTACATGCTAATAAATATCAAGAAAATAATGTGAAAAAAATTAAAATGAGAGACTCCTGCTTGAGGGATACTACCCAAGAACTTCATATATTAGAATAAAAGCAGCTGAAATGTCACATAAGTGAAATTACAAACATAAAGGGTTTTGAGACTAGAGAACATGTTAATGCAATCTGAACCGTGAGAATGTAATTTGCGGTTTTAGACAAAGCCCAGAAATGTAGATGTCCGAGTCTGTAAGATTTTTAATATCCATCCTAATACTTGCATCAATTAACTCCAAAATCATTACGTCCTGAACAAAAAAATTTTGACTGCAGTTACAAGCAGTTATTTACATGCACCTCACAGTCATTAATCATTAAAGATCAAACCCCAGATTCCATTACCTTCAACAATAAGCTACACACTAAGCCGTGCTCGCTCTTCCTCCTGTTATAAAATAAGCTCATTACAAAACCTTATCAATATACCACCACTAATTACCAACCATGCTGAGAGAAAGAATTGCACAGCTCTTGACCAGATCTAGTTTGCTTATTAAACAGAACTAACATGCAAGAGATTATTTACCTGTTTTTCTTCATCCACTTTGGACGTAAAAAATCTGTTTGTATTTGTCCTGAAAAGCAAAGTTTAGAGCCTGTGTTGGGAAATACTGTATAACATTTGCCAAATTGCCATGCCAAAAGCTGAAAAATCCTACAGAAAAAGAAACGGATCTTTAAAATAACATTTCCAAAGTTTATGCCTCAACAAGTATATTATTCCTTCTTTTGTTTCTACTTTAGTATGAGCTGTAACAAAGGCCACAAATGTTCTTTTTCAAGTCCTTCATTTTTCAGACTTTTGGTACTGGAAATCTGGATTTATTCTGACACTTACGAACAGATGTATGCATTTGGTGTTAGCACAAGCAAATGTAAAACTGTACATGAAATAACGCTGAGAAATAGGTAAGATTGCCAGCTTCCTTACTTTATACATTTCTAAGACTAGGCATACCTATGTAAACTGCAGTCTGGAAACTGCAGAATAGAAGAGTATTTCACAGAACTGTATAGAAATGGTTTTCCTGAAGTAGCCTGCCTATGCATTTTCGCTTCCATAGGGGGTGCTCGCACTCCATATTATAGCAATGACAAACGGTTTATACAGGCATCAGAAACCTGGTAGCACTTCTGTAATTATATTATTCTTCTAAATTAAAGAAAGGGTCCATTTGGACACTAAGATAAATGCATAAGAAGCTAAATGGAACTGAGGAGGTAGTGCAGGAGCAAATCTTACGTGGATTGTGAGAAAAAAAAAAAAGTATGTGAGGATGTTCACAGACATTGGGCTGTCTGGCCATGTTATGGACTTTACTAAGCAGTGACAACAAAGTGATCTCTGTAATGTGTAGCCATGCTCTTCATTCAAACTTACTAATTTTTTTGTGTTACCAGGAATGAAGGCAAAGACTCCTTAAGGACAAAGAAAACTCAAAACTGGGGTTTCATTTCTTATTTTGATCATGCTTTCCTACACATTGAGGATGCCAAATAAACACTGCTTTTTAAAAGTATCAGAAGGAAAAGTTTAAGGGTATTTTACGCTGTTCACAAATACCAGTGAGCATGACTTTGCCACTACCAAATAAACCAAAAAAATCCTGTGGGGACGTACCCAGCAGTAACCCCCTCCTCACCACCTCCTCCACTGGTATCTGTACTCCTTTGAGTGCCCACAGCCCACGATGGATGCTCCATCGCCATTGTTTCAAAGGCATTTTTAAAAGATTTTTTTACAAGGTTTGGGAGAAAGAAGGCAAGATGCAGGGACTGGGGAGCGGCCCAGGGGAAGAGGCGGCGGTGGCCGCGCGTCCCTACCTTGCTCCCCGGGGATGCGCACGAAGCAGTCCACCATGCCCTTGTACCGCTGGTCTGCCGAGATCTGCTTGGACAAGGCCTGCACCTGCAGCAGCAGCTCCACCTGCTCCACAGGCGCCACCGCCATCTTGGAGACAGCGGCCACCACGCCGCTGGCCAGCAGGTCCCTCCCGAAGGAGAGGGAGTCCTAGGGGTCCTCGCCCTGCGGGGCCGCCATGGCGCATGGCACCGCCCCGGCCGCCCCCCACCGGTTCCTCTTCTTCCTGAAAAGCACGCGGCTGGCGGGCACCTAACTGGCTTCTTTTTCCTCAAAAGTTAAAAGTTGATGGTCTCGGGGTACCCAGGAGCTGAGTCGCCTCTGTCCCCCCACCGTTCCGGGCCCAGAAACCGCGCCATTTGCTCCTACTACACGGATCCGTCCCTTCCAGGCAGTGCCACCCTCCCTGAGCTGCAGGCAGCAAGCTTTCCAGATACCTCAGGAACTTTCCAGAAGCTTCTGTCAGCTGTGGGAACTGGCCCCTCTCCCCAGATCAGCAACTAGAGACTGGAAAACCAGGTAGCAAAGGGTAGTTGTTGATCATATTGAATTATGAGTTAATAAACATGATATATGACAAGTAAATGAACTTCAGACATGTTAATTATACCCATTCCATTGCAGGTCAGATGTACCAATTCCTTCTAGATTGCTGATAGCTTTTTTTTAATTGCTTTACCTCCCCTGCATCTCCTGACTTTATGACTAATGAAGGCATGAAACACCATGGGTTTTGTTGATGTTTTAAAATGATAACTTTTGTTTCTTGCATTCTCTTGACATGAGTAATTTTAACCCTGGTACTCCATTGATTTGTTGTATACCACATTGCTTTGCTAATAGTTTTTTAAGCAATAATTTAAAGGCAAAAAAAATTATTTCTCTTAAGCCTTACTACTACCACCATTTTAACTCCTTTAGTAGCTTCCCCTTATCTATTCCTCTTGACATTAATTCTATACACTGTTTCACAGCCATAATCTTCCTCAAAGTTACAAAGCTACAAGATTTGTATCAAAGATACCTGATAAAAATCTGTGTTCTGTAGGAAATGAAATCGTATCATCCTTTGGGGTTCTTTTTAAACATACTCTTTACAAATCTGCAAGATACAGTCTCTTCTCAGTTGACTAACAAAGTAACCAATAAAAATCTCCTTAACTGTAGTATCAACATGATTAATGCATATTTTGCCATGTTTTGTTGCTGAACTATACTGGTTTGAGTATAAAAGTTGCACCATACTCAGATGCCCATAATTCTGTTTCAGGTACAGTTTCTTGTGAAGGAGCAAGCCAATCTAAATACCTGATTGATACCACAGGAGTCCCACCTTCCTTCGGTTCTTCTTTTCTCCATGCACATCTGCATATTCACACTGTTTCTTCTGCATTGATTCAATTGTGTTTGTCCCAGCTGAGTCAACAGTTTAATACACTACGCTGGCAGCAGAGTAACCTAGGTCTGACTAAACACAAGGATCTAGATAAAAGTTAGCTGTCCTCTTTTTTAAAGCATTCAACTGTCTTTTTTAGCATTCAAACCCAACCTTTAGAAGACCGAAACAAGAGACAAACATCAGCAAAATTACCCTTTTCCATACAGATAGACACTTATGTGCAGAAACATACATACAGGTTCTGTAAAAGCTGTTAAACCTGCTAAAAGCACTGCATCAAAGACTCCTTGCTTTGCTATGTTACTTCTTCCATCTACAATGAAATCTAATATTCAAAGCCCACATATTTTAGACTTTTAAAAGGTGCTGTTCAGATGTTATCCATACTATTACAACTTTTTATATCTCAAACAGAGTAAATCTCACATCACTTGATTTACAGATGGGGAACAAATCTAAATCAGTTTTAATCTCAAACTGAAATACTCTGTCTCATCTTCTAGGAACCATAAATTCTAGAGACAGCTGATTAACAAACCTGCAATCATATGCTTACACTTCAGCCCTAAGACTTCTACTGCTGGGAATTAAAACAACTGTTGAGTGATTCAAGACAAGCTGTGAATCCCTCTGTGAGAGTGGGCAGTTAAAAGCATTTGACTGACTATTTTAGAAGTACTCTAAACCATGCAATTTACCAGTGAAAACAAGATCTAAAGATTTGATTCATGAGAGCCTACGGAACTGAATTTACTTTCCTGAATACTTAAGCTTTTTGATCCCATTGTTTAAAATGCAACTTTAGTAATGCATTTTATGAAAAGCACTCATTAAAAGCAAGTAGAAACAGCAGAAAGGGGAAAAAAAAATGCACTGTTGATATGGAACATGAGGAAATGCTATGCGGATGACCAGATCTAAATAAGCTGGCTGAGGGTACAAAGACCGCCCCCAAAATCTTACATTTTTAACTAAACTTCAGTAAAAAAAAGCTTTAGAAGCAGCTGGTCTGTAGATTACAAAAATTGTAACAATTTGTAGGAAAGCTGATTTTTGCAGAAGAATTCTGATTTTGCAAACATACTGCCTTCTCTTGCCTTATATGGAGGTAACATAACATTTTTTGTAATAGCCAGCTGTAAATTGCAGAAGACCTAGCCAAATAAATATTGTTTAAATAAACAAAAGAGAAAATATCTTAAGTTAAAACACACAGAGTAACACTTTACTGGTCTTCGCCAAATATAATTTTTTTATTATGAAATTATGAATATAATATAAAATTGGCTGAGTCCAGGCATAGGTCTTAAAACCATCACCCCACTGCCCTCCATCTTCTTTTGTGCTTTCAAAATTGTGTTTTAACAAATATAAGTATTATTTATAGTTGAACCTCATGAAGTCAAGTAAAACATCAACTAAATGCTCAAGTGTGCAGGAGACCACACTGGCAAAAATGATAAGCCATTAGTTTTGTGTGGCTAAGTGCCATGAATTGGCTAAAAGATTTCTTTTTTTTTTTTTTTGATTAACACAGTACTACTGAAAACATTCAGTATTTTTCATGCCCTTAGAGGTGCAAAATTTTAATTAATTGGAAAACTTTTTTTTTTTTTTTAACTCCATCACCAGTTGCCAGATACTCAGAGAGTACTTTGAGGATATCAGCTTATCATTTTACATTGCATATTATACACACTGAACAGCAGTGAATGTACAAATTATGTGATGTTTTCATGTAATAAAAGTTATGATTGGGATAAATAATTCAACAGTACATAAAAATAAGAATTTTGGTTCTCTGAAATCTTTTTAAGTATTCGATTGATGAAATCATTAGAATCATCACTGAAGTTTTACCTGTGTCATTACCAGAAGGTAGTTTTTTTGTTTTTTGTTTTTTTTGGTTTTTTTTTTTTTTTTTTTTTTAAAAAGCATTTGAAAGATACACCATGGGTGGGCACCACAATTGAGTTCATTTCTCTTTATATTGAAGTACTTTAAAAAGATGACAACACCCTACAGGATGGCTGAATGTTCAGGAGACTCATCTATGTAGCTAATCCGAAGGACAGTTTAAAGGCCAGTTCAACAGCAGCTTCTGTGACTGAGTCATGAAAACAGACGTAACACTCCTGAGGTTTTGGATGTAGAATGAGTCTCCTGGAAAAAGGGAAAGGAAGGAAAAAAAAATCATCATAGGTGTTAGCTTTTTGTTTGTTTGATATATTCTGGTTGTACTCTGAGGTTTCAGTAAGATGTTAAGAACAACTGCTGTGTAAGACAGCTAGCAAATGTCTGTGGCTCTCCTGCATTATCTTACTATCTTCAATACATTAGATTTTTAAATCAAGTTATTCTCTGCTCAGTTTTCTCAACACTATTATGGAAAAAAAATCTTCAGGTTTTCAGGGTCTATTTGTATGGTACTGGTGTGTTTGCAGTCATCCAAGTTTCCAGGCGACAAGCTGCAATCAAGGTACCTGGGAGCAAGCCCCAATATTCACATATTCACTGATTTTTTACACTTAATACATCTAGGTAGGTACATTCCCACATGTTAATCTAATAAGCTCTTTCAGGGAAAGAGCTAAAATAGGAAAGCTGTTAATACTTGTGCATAACTGTGTGTAGCATTATAGCATAGCATATAGCTCTGCAAATACTAATGGACTACCCTTGATTTAACATGTTGTTTGATAATGCAGAATGAAAAATTATTTTTTAAAAGACAGCAACATCAGTGCAAACACTTTTAAATGTTTAAAGATCTTAATTTTTCCAGACCCAAGCATAGCACACAAACTGCAGTTATGTACATTCATGGTGGGAAACAATTGTTTTTCTTTTTAAACATCTAACTTGAAGGCAAACAGGTTGAACAAAAGCTCTGTTAGAGGATTTCTACATTATTATTCCTGGCCAATATAGTTACCTGTGGATGATGTTTCCTCTCATTCTATCGGAAAAAAGTTCTTATGCCATATTCAGAAATGTATTTTGCCATTTTCTTTCCTATTTGTGCAATAGTTGAACTAGTCGAAAATTCTAACTTAATAAATTAATCAAGCATAATCGTTTATCTTCCTTTCACTCCATGACTATACTGAATTTGTTTTTCATATAGCTTCTATTTAACTGGGCATTTGCATTTTAGTTTCTATTTATCTAATTGGAATACCAAATACAGAAGATGAATGTAGAGAAGAAAGAAACATCCTGTTGAGAATGACCACCCTTAATAAGACTGTCTGCCTACTGCAGCTAAAATCTAGACAGCACAAAATACAGCAGATGGAGGAAAGAATAACGTATGAGAAGTGGCCACTGAATAGGGCTTACTGACCTGGACTTAAACAATTACAACATCTGATACGTTCTGAATTGTGAAGAAGTGATACATACTACTTTTTCATTGCACCTGATTTTAATTACTTCAGAAAATCCATTATTTTTAATATTTATTGCCTAGGGCAGTATGCTGTTCTGCCATGTAAATAAGGCTTAGCTATGTAGTAATAACTATATGCATCATTAAGAAAATTATTTAAAATTAAGTTTAAATAACAACACAAACCACAATTCATTTACAATGATAATGGCAGAACTTTGAAAGCAAATTGAGGGAAGAAAACTCCCTCTCCAAAATATCTCAAACAGACTGGTAGGTTGATTTGATCTTCCCAATGAAAAAAAACCCCATCAACCAACAAGTACAGCTGTTCACATTACCTCTTTGTATCACTGAATCAGCATTATGCATGGAGACAAGACAGGTAGGATGGACTTGCAAAGCAGGGAATGGAGAGGTCAGAAGGAGTGCAAGGAGCACAAAGGAAGTGCAGGGTATTAAAGAGTATGATTACAGCACATTAGCATGTCTGCGTAGCACAGTGCAGCACTGCAAAGGATGCCAGCTCTGTGGTGTTAACATGCTGGCACGGTGCTCACCTGAGTTAACACACCTGTATTTTACAGCAGGTGGAACATCACACCAGTGCAACTTCCCAGATCCCAAATCAAAGCTACCTCAGTCAGTCAGCTCAAGTATTTCTGTCACGTGCTACAGTTAAATTTATTCTTAAAGAACACAGTGATATATTCAAAATGGAAGACTTTGGGAGAAATACATATGTGTTTAAACTCACCCCACAACCCAGTAATTCATTGTTGGTGGTGGTTTCTTCTGATCAGTCCAGTTATCAGGAGAGCACTCAAACAAAACTCCATGTTCTTTTACCAGATCTAGGTCCTCAGCTGCCTTACTAAATTCTGAAATCCCACTGGCTGCTTTTTTCTTTTTCTGTAAAACAATTGGTGAAATGTTAGTATAGAATGAAATATTCTTACATAAACACTAGCAAATATAACTATGCAATTTCTTCAGGAATATCTTATGAATGATATTGCTTTCAAAAAGCGAGACTTGGAAGATCTAACTTGCTTACATGATTCTTTTCTCCACAGTTTTGTTACTTTGGCATCAACAGGCCTTCCCATTGTTATACAGCTTGGAGGTAGACACATGCTCCCTTTTTTGATTTTTTTTTTTTTTCCTTCTAGCTGAACACTATTTCTCTAATAAGACATCTGAAATAGTACAGCTTCTTTTAAAAAGTGTGTTACAACAAGCTAAACCTCTCATCTTTCTTTCTCTGTGTGCCTCCCTAATTAAGAACTGTGATAGTAAAAGTATATTGAATAAACTTGGCCAGGCAGGAATTTCCTTTTGTAAATAAACAGTTGAAACACTTTGCTCAGAGCATTTTCTTGCTCTTACTCAGTATGAGTGCATAAGACGTCTTTATTTCCTATACATTTTCATGTTTCATTGAGTTTTTAGGCCTATGTTTTGCACAGAGGTTTTGAATAAACCTTGCAAAAGTTCCAGTTGTTTCTAACTGAGCTCCTGGTACCTGTTTGGTAGAGGATCAAATTGCATGCACAAAAACTATTTTTCTCTCTTTGCTCTGTCTTGGTGCTCAACAGTCCTGTGAGTCCAATAAAGCCATGGTATCTTTCACCAGAAGTGCGAGGGGAAAAAGATCAGAATAGACACGGAGATAAACACAGGAGGAGTTTTGAAAGGCTTTGTCACTAGTTTAACTCTTCTCCCACTGAAGTCAAAGGAAGTTTATTACTCTTTTGTAAATGTCTATGTAATAATGAAAAAACAAGCTTTTAATCTTTTTTTTTGTTTTTGAAGCATAAGAAGTGAGATGAGATTATGGAAACAGGAGTGGAAATCCCTTTGAAACAAATCTGTCTTAAGAGAGTTCCTAAGCCAGGGAGGGCATCTCTGGATCTGCCAATAAAACTTCTGTTCCCATTGGTAGCTTCAAAGGTGAAAGAAAAGCTTTTCTTGAAAAAAAGTCTCAAGGAACTTCTCTCTGCCACATGCAGAAGCAGAAACCACATCTTTCAATCTGCCTACAGTATTGAAGATGTGGGGGCTGAAGATCTAGAAGAGAAAAGATGGGCAAAACATCACAACTATCTTAATTTCTCAAAAATGGTGGAAGAAAAAGTGAAATGCACCTTAGCATTTGAGAAACCAAATGGCTAATATTTGCCTGAGATGTCGTCTTTTAAATTTACCTAAACGTGCTTTGGAATAAATTCATGAAGCATATTCTATATTACTCCTAGTTCATAGAGTAGAAGCCGTTTCACAACAGATGACTTAACCCCTCCTGTATCTTTTCTTAGTACATAAAATTGTTTCAAACCCTGTTCTTGCTAATACTGCTACTAAAAAAGACTTAAGGAATATGTTAGTACTCAGTCTAATAATCTTCTCCACCAAAAAATGGGGTAATTATAATGCAATTTCCAAGCTGACTTTTATTTATATTTTAGCACATCTTACACTATGCTATTCATACTGAAAATACTCAAGAAAATAATATGTATTAAGAGGGGATATTTGATAGAACTATGAGGGTCTATACTTTCATATGCATTAAAACGTCTTTCCTTCTGATTTAAAAGTAAGAAAATACTAAGATGATGATGAAGCAAATGAGGTCAGGGCTGCTTATCACATACACTGACATGTATTTTAGAGTTTAAGACTAGAGAGCTTATTTTTGCTCAATTTAAAATTTATTAAAAACTTCTGTACACATTTAGAAGTTAAATTGCGAATTTTCAGTTCTCAAAAAGTGAGACAACATAAATTATTGATCGGTTTACTGTAATTTTGCATTACTGGTGCAATTCTCTAAATCCTAAACTATAACAATATTTAGCTGATACCAAATAATAAGCAGTATAATAGCACATTTCTACATTTGACTTTTTTGTTGTGCACTATGAACAAGGAAAACTTCTATTCATTCTTTTATATTTTCCTCGTGCCATAAGGCAACCTGCCAATTTCAGCATTAATTGTTGGAGCCAACATGCAAAAACTACCCCAAATTTCTCTAAAACAGAAACTTTGTTCTGCACCATATGTTCATCAATTATTTCTGATTGTCAGAGCAGAATGAACCCAGCTGCTGCCTACTGTACTCACATCTGAAGAAGCCAGGAAAGCATGTGCCAAGGTAGCTGTGGCCAAAACAGAAGTTTTGACTTTCAACCGTGAGTTTTTCACTTTTTATGAGCTACACCTAATGGTTGAATGGTTTCTTTATTCTTTTTTTTTTTGGTTTGAACTATAAACTGTCTATTTAACAGTTGTAACCAAAGGCAATTTGATGATAAGAAATACTTGTGTATTCTCTCTGCTTGCTTTTGGGCTTCTAGATGTCCCACCAGAAGTGCCCAAAATACACGACTCATTGCCAAAGTCCTACTCAGCCAAACCCCAGTGTCATATGAAGTTGACAAAACAATGCACTAAATTAACCTACTTTTCTAACACTTAAAAATTCCTACATAATTTACAAGGCACATCAGTCTAACCAGAAGTGACTTTTTTTGTAACTTCAATAAAACGTTAAGAAAAATACTGCTGTTTGCAAACTGCATTCATTCAATTTCTACTGTTATTTCCTATTTCTCATTTAATTCACTTGGATTGTCACTTTAGGATTTAAAAAATTCAACTGATAGACAGTATTCCACTTAGGTTTGTAGTTAATTATTTCTCTTTTCCAAAAGGACTAAACAGGTCACAAAATTAGTAGAGAAGAAATGTTATCCTAATTTGGTTCATGTCAATAAAAATCAACTCTGCAATTAAGAACCAGACTTGTAGCAAAAAAAAGTGTGCACTGAACACAGAGTATCTGATCTGAATGGAGTACCTCATAAATTGGTTCTTATACCTATTGTTTAGATTTCTGCATTACTACTACCATCTTACTCCAGATGGATCATTTGGAGTAAACAGAAATTTTTAATCAAACACAAGGCAGTATAGTTGCTGACATCGGACCTGTCCATTTTTAAGTCTAATCTAAATACCAAGTACTCACATAAAGCTCTGGTAGCTGGGATGATCAGGCTTCAGCCCAAGCCTAGAGCAAGGCTTGAATTGGTATCAGTGTAAAGGGAAAAAGCCTTTCTTATCCTGGCACCCTACCTAAACTAAAATCCAAGAGATCTGGCAGCACAATTAAAAGCAACCCATCATTATAGCCAGTCTTCTTATAGACAAATATCCGTATGAACAAACGATTACAGACATTAGTGGATGGCAAATCTATAAGCAATCTTGGGTAGCAAAGAGATGAAAGACACTAAGAATGAACAACCCAGAGTCCCTCTTCAGGTCCCTGTTCAGACACGCTGACAGCACAGTGAGGGGAGACCACACTGTCACTGCTCACGTGAAACATTTTGCATGAAAAACAGAGGGTCTAAATTTCCTTTTGCTGCCAATCTGAAAACCCCTATTTTGCGACCAGTCTGAAACCGTCTCTTTTGCTACTTACAGTTCTTGAACCCAGCGCATGAAACTTTTTGCTAAGTTACAAAGAAGAGTCCTAATACGAAACAAGAGTAAGAAAATACTATACTGGAGACACAGAGTATTTATTTTGAGGGCATTTTTGGTGGGAGACCAAGACATAATTGCATGCATACTTGGTTGGATGGTCAAAGAAAGAACCTGCCCATAACAGTGAAAACATAAAGAGCTTTAAAAACAACCACACATGTGCAAATACACCTGCTAGTGAACTATTTAAATAGTGGAGTGAAAACAATCTTGAAATACTGAGTTGAGAATGTAAATAGAAAAACAGAAGACAGAGCTTCCATACTTCTTTCCTCATGGACTGCTGAAAAACAGAACGAATTGAAAGACAGCAACGATAGAAATTCTCAATTAATTGAGGGTGGATGGAGCCACCGAGCCGTGCTACTTCTTTGTGAGTTGGAGTAATAAAGATTCCTTGCATCGTTTCCAAAGATAGATAGTGGAAGAGGGTATTCTCAGGACCGGATGTCAACCTTAAAAAAATAGGATAATTCATTTAATATTAAAATAATTTTGAAAGAAATTTCAGTTCAACAACATATACTTTTGTTTCTTAAGACAGATTTGTTTTTCTGCTATCTACAACAGAGTACAAAAATGGATACAGACATTCCAAAAGTGCCTATTTGTACACCAAGGAAATCCTGCTAATTTGGACTGTCAATACTCAATTAAAAAAAACCCAAACCCAAACCGAAAAACTATGGTACAAGTTAGGTATTGCACTTGTGTTCTCAAAAATTCTCACCAAAAAAAAGGAAAGGAGAAATAAAAGTTTGGGGGGGGGGCGGCACGGGAGGAAAGCTTTTTTTAGAGCTCAAACAAAACACCACAGTGACTGCCATCACAAGCAACACGTGGGAACTGGGAAGAACACGGCTTCTTTGTCCTTTGTACACCTTCCTAGAGGTACCAGGGAGGCACAAGGTATATTTGTGGGCCAAAACCTCTTTTATTTGAACTTCCAAGGTCACATATATGTGGGGCATGTGCATACATTCTACTGACATATTCTTGAGAAACAGTCAACTTTTCTAATTAAGCTCTCCATTTAAGAACTTTGCTTTTGAGAATCCTTGTACAGCAAAGTTCTGGTTAGAACAAAATTATGCAGGAACTTCCGTGATCTGTGCATATTCAAAAAAAGATCCAAGTATGGCCTTAAAAATGAAATACTTGATAAAAAGAAAATTTCTTACTTGATAGCATTAAGAAGTTCTGTATCTTTCTCTGAAAGGTTCTTTTTGAGGTTTCCCAAATGAAATGGATTTGGTAGGGTGTGTTTTTTTCTAGTGGCCTGAAAAACAAGCAGATAGACAAACTAACAGAGAAAAGACAGCTAACAAAAGAACAGAATCAAACCAACAAATCACCTACTTAGAAGAAAATAATGTAGCATTTTTTTCAAAAGGCCCAAACAGTTCCATCAACTTATATAAATGTATTTTATAGCCTATTTTAGACTAAAATGGGTTAGAAGCAGTTGTACAACTGTACAGCAATTTGTTCTGATCACTTATATTTACACCATTATTATTTTGGGGATAGTCTCCAATTATTTCTGCTGATTCCAGTGCAGCTGTGCCCATTTTAGTCATGTGAAAAAGCCAAATATTTACAAGCAATGATAAAAAAATGTGATGGCTCTGAGGCTGACCCAAAGCTTCCCAAGGCAACAAAGTATTTTCTACCGAATCCAGGGGCTCTTATTCTTTTACAGTATACTTAAAAAAAAAAAAAAAAAAAAAATAAAATTACTTGAGGGAGTTTTTAAAGGAATTGCCACCCCCTCCAAGCCCACCAGAACCTTATAAATTCTCTTTGTCTTTGTTCTCAGACCTGATCCACTCCAGATTGTGGATTACTGCTTTCATCTTCTGGAGGACCTTCATTACCATGGTCAGGTCCTCCGCTGTTTCTCGTAGGGCTCGGCTTACGCGTCGTTAAGGAAGAGTCACCAAATAGGGTCCTTTTGCTTGCTGGAGTAGTTACTGATTTGGAAGTGTTTTGTAGCTTGCTTAGGATGGGTGAGGTGGTCAAGCTCTCCAGTTTGTCACGTGTTGCAGGAAGGAACCAGTCAGCACAAGATAAAGGTGGAATGGAAGGAGAATCTAGCCTTTCCTCTATGCCGGCATCTATTCCTTCCAGTTGAAGTATAGTGGCTTTGACCTGATCTACATATATACAGTCTGGTCCTGGATTCCCAATAGCTTTTGATGCACAGCCTCCTGCCTCTAGCAGGACACACAGCATAAAGTGTCTCTGTAAACATGGAGGAAGCAACATTAGCCTTTGGTTTAATATACAGTATGTGCTGTATTATATTTATGTCTCATATGATACTTGGGCAAAATACAGCACTATCTATAACACTCCTTCCTCATCTCCAGAGGAGTTACTTATTTTTTTCTAATCAAATCATGTTCAAGGAGTTCTTTCTGTTATCATGTTATTTAAGTTAATGATGCAAACGTAAAAGCTATCATTTCCAAACTCGTTAGTTGTTTGCTTTAAAAAAAGTCCACATTTAAAAAAATCCCACGAACACCTTTCTGAAATAAGTTGTCTGAAAATACAAGATCATGAAAGTAAAAACATTTTCAACCAAAGTGAAAAGGCATAAAACCAGCAAGAATTTATGCTTAAACTTGCAAGCTGTACAAATGTATAAATAAAGCTACTGTCTGAGAAATTCTATCTCATGAAACAGCTGTAATACAAATATTTTGTAAAATTACTATAAAATGCATGGAAAGTGTTACCTTACTGAACAGTAGACAACACACAACAGCAAAACAGAGCATCAGAAAACAGGCATACTGCAAATGTTAACTTACCAAGCCAACTATCAGTAAAAAGTATCTTGCTTCAGGTTCCTTGTATCCTGTAAAACTTGAAACTTCACATGGCTGGATATGATGATGTGGAAATACTTCCCGCCATATCACTAACTGACCAATCTTCTGCTCTGCTGCCAAGGGTAACAGACAATAGTGCCGACAATATAAACCTATATCAATAAGATCCTCCTTTGGCAAGTGATTACCAATCAAGTAACCCTTAATTAAACACAGAAAAGGAAGCATATTCAGTAAGAAATACACCACCACCACTTATCACTTAAGAGTACTTTTCATATAGAGATATCCATGCTCCACATGCATTGACATTGTAAGCTTTCTGGCCAGAGACTGTTTTTTTGGTATACAGTTCTACACAAGATAACACTGAGCTTTTGCATCACATCTGAAGAATCAAAATACTGAAATATAAACAAATAAAAAACATCAGGATATATGCAAGTTATCAAAGTCGAACTGGGAAATGCATGGCTTTAACAGCTTGCAAAACAGCTACAGAGTTAAGGTGCTTTAATTCTCATTTAATTCTCTCTTCCAAAAATACTGAGCTTTCACTGGAATTAATAAAATTTCCAGAAAAGATACATAGTACAACAGTGTTTCTAGCACTAAGGGCATAACAGTTAAAATGGCGTCATGGTAGATACTCCGCAGTTCCATTTGTGCTAATAGTTTAGTCTCGTAACACTACCAGCATAAATCATAGAATCATTTAGGTTGGAAAAGACCTTCAAGATCACCGAGTCCAACCATCAACCCACTAAACCATGTCTTGAAGTGCCTTGTCTATGCGCTTTTTGAATACCTCCAGGGATGGTGACTCCAGCACTTCCCTGGGCAGCCTATTCCAATGTCTGACAACCCTCTCAGTAAAGAAATTTTCCTAATATCCAACCTAAACCTCCCCTGCCGCAACTTCAGGCCATTTCCTCTCCTCCTGTCTCCAGCCACCTGACAGAAGAGACCAGCACCCACCTCGCTACAACCCCCTTTCAGATAGTTGTAGAGAGCGGTAAGGTCTCCCCTCAGCTGCCTCTTCTCTAAACTAAACAACCCCAGTTCCCTCAGCTGCTCCCCATAAGACTTGTGCTCCAGGCCCCTCACCAACTCGGTTGCCCTTCTCTGGACACACTCCAGCACCTCAACGTCTTTCTTGTGGCGAGGGGCCCAAAACTGAACACAGGACTCGAGGTGCGGCCTCACCAGTGCCGAGTACAGGGGAACAACCACCTCCCTGCTCCTGCTGGCCACGCTATTTCTGATACAGGCCAGGATGCCGTTGGCCTTCTTGGCCACCTGGGCACACTGCTGGCTCATACTCAGTTGGCTGTTGACCAGCACCCCCAGGTCTTTTTCTGCTGGGCAGCTTCCCAGCCACTCTTCCCCAAGCCTGTAACGTTGCACGGGGTTGTTGTGACCGAAGTGCAGGCCCCGGCACTCGGCCTTGTTGAACCTCATACAACTGGCCTCGGCCCATCGATCCAGCCTGTCCAGATCCCTCTGTAGAGCCTTCCTACCCTCGAGCAGACCAACCCTCCCTCCCAGCTTGGTGTCGTCTGCAAACTTGCTGAGGGTGCACTCGATCCCCTTATCCAGATCATTGATAAAGACATTGAACAGAACTGGCCCCCGTAGTGAGCCCTGGGGAACACCACTTGTGACCCCCCCCCAACTGGATTTAACTCCATTCACCACAACCCTCTGGGCTCGTCCATCCAGCCAGTCTGTTACCCAGCAAAGAGTACGCTTGTCTAAGCCATGAGACACCAGCTTCTCAAGGAGTATGCCATGAGAGACAGTGTCAAAGGCCTTACTGAAGTCCAGGTAGACAAAAAGAACAATTGCATGATAAAATCCTTAAAATGTAAGTTTCCTTAAAACAAAGGCTGTTATCTTTCTCTTTATACTGTTGAATACACTGTCTACATATAATAAAGATACATAAATTTACAAATGAGGCCAAAGTGAAAAAAGCTGTCAATCCAATTTCTAAAGTCTTTGCTTTAAAGACAGATTAAAGATAGATCACCTGTAATCGGTATTAAAAAATGGCAATGAACAAAGAAATTCCTATTAGAATATCATACAGTCTCACTTGAATTGACTCTTATTACTTTCTTATTACTGTCTCTCTCCAATCCTTGGATCATACAGCACAAAATTCCCATAAGACAATTTCAAACAAGTATTTTGTCCTTACCGATCATGTAGTACACACCACTTCCTGACATCTATTTTTTCTGTTATGGTGTTTGAGTTTTAGGTCTGTTACTAGAAATACACATTTAAAGCAATCATACTTTTTTTTAATATTTGTGAGTTTCTGAAAAGAGTTACTCCATGACTGGGTTAGATTTCCAGATGCATTTTCCTAATCTTTAGGCCTTAATCACTAATACTACCTTGTAGAAGAGACAAGAGCCCATAATCATATATAATCTTCTCATGTCATAATAATCTTCAGACTGTGGGGAAAAAAGCATGGTATAATTTTTAATTCAGAATTTTCATTTTATTTACCAAAATGCAAATGAACTAATTCCAGTCAATTGTAACCAGTATCTTCTTTAATACTTTCATTTTGGACCACTTCTTATTATCAGTATGGCAGTTAATACTGAACAGTTAAGTGAAATACCAAGTTTTTAGCCTCCATTATTGATTTTCACGTCACTGATTTTCTCTAACAATTTTCAGCTCAAAATAACAGATTTCCTATTTAGTTCTTATTTGTCCATAAACTTTTTGTTAGGATATGCTAATCCTCAGAGTTCTTAACAGCAAAGCGGCTGACGCATAACTATTGACAACAGAGGCCCTCCTGGAGTAAAACTTCCAAGTCAAAGCATTTTTTCCCAGTATTTGACATTTTACCCAAAATACACCCATTCCTTGATCCTTTAATCTAGATGCCCAGTGCTCTCAGATTAGTAACACTATCTTTAGGTGGATATAGTGTATTTTAAATTAAGTGGGTGCAATCAATTTTGATGCAATAAACTACAACTTTTAAACATTGCTTTCTGTAAATAATCATCCAGGTTGTTTAGTACAGCGATTCTTTTTTTGTATTCTTTTGCAAGATGGACTGCAGGTCTGCCTACCTTGTATTTTAGGTTTTAAGAATCATTAAGTATCTTTTGAGATTATGTATGTCCCAAATTATTATGCTAAATATGTGATCAAAAAAGTTATCTTTATGCTCAATTATAATATACCTATAAAGAATATAATTTTAAAATAACTTTTCTGGAACATGAATTTGAGAAAGCAAAACTGAAATTTCAATATGTTTACACCTCACTGTCCTATATAGCACAGTAAAGAGCATGCACAGCAAGTGGTGCTTAAGTAAATTGCCTTCTTCCCTTTTAACAGTATTAAAAGTATGCATAACTCGTAATTGTGTTCTGTAAACTGGACAATTAAGTTCTCGGTCCTCCAAAGAAGTTTCGAGGTTTATTCACAATTGCTTGGGAAGGAGAGAGTTATCTATACAAAAATAGAAATGTAACAAGAATCAGCTCTTTGAAATTAAGAGTGTCCTTGTAGACATCCCAGGGACTTAAATTATAGTAAATCATGGGTTTTCAGTGACTAATCCTATAGGATTATAATACAGTTATAATGTTAACCATGGACAGAAATTCAGGATAAACAGAATGGGCAAAATTGAACAAGACAAGAATAATCGAGTATAGCTTTGCTTTGACTCCCACTTGATTAAAAAAAGTGGATGAGTTTGGAATTAGTGCTTTTTTAAACTACTGAATATGACACCAGGGCAAAGAGATACTGTGCAATGCAAACAACAAAAATAAAATGTTTACCAGCTCTGCAAAGTCAGCTGCTTCCAGATCACTCAGTGCTGTGTCAATTTCCATCTGAAATATTTAAACAGTGCATTCTAACAGAGATTTCCAACACATTAACTTACAATAATAGCATAGTTCGCTCCCTCTTGCTGGTCTCAGAAGATTAGGATTCACAAGTACGAAGTGAATGGATAAAAATTTGCACATACTTTTCAGTAGTAACATCAAATATCAAGAACACCCCAATTCATCAGATTAAAGAAAAATCCTTCTTAATTGCTGTGTTTTTCCCTCTTCTTTGAAACTGTAAAATGTCTCTGCTTGTGTGCCTGCTGAACCCACTGTTCTGTATGAAGGAGACGTCACTCTTACTTTCAGCATGCTTTGAAACATGAGGTCTAGAGACTAGACCTTGAAGACTCTGAAATCTGGCAAGCTATTGTATCCAGCTGAGTTATTAGAAAAATCTTTTTCACAATGGATTTAGTTTTTGTCTCTATGGAAATTGCCAAAACTTTCTCACACATTATCTTTGTTCTACTGAAACCGCTTTAAGCTTGCTTGTTTCTCTAACTACAGGAGCTGTTGGTTAATGTAAGTTTTAGTAAAAATACTTTCCTTTAAAGAACATCATACTAGCCACTGAAGTTCACGACATAAACGTGCTACTTAATGAAAAGAACCTAAACCCCATCATTACAAACTTCTTGGGCTGTATTAACAGGCTGCCTCTAATTGAAATACAGCCAGTTTTTCAGAGAAATGTCAGTGAGGCTGTTGGCAGTCGACAACTAACCAGTCTCTCAGCTTTTCCCCAGTTAAAATTTAAATGGCTTTCTGCCCAACAAAGAACTGACATTTTTAGTTTTATATTCCTTATAGAATATAAATATCTTCACCAAAACTTAATTGGAAATTTCATCTTCTACAACAACAAAATTTTTCTGGAAAATGTGGATGATCTCGGACAATTTTGGACAATGATGTCTGTATCATAAATATCAACCATGTTGTTATCTAAATCCCTTTAAAGCCTACAATTTTACAAGAAAAAAACAACTTGCAAGCTGAACTAGGGAGCAAAGCGTAATATAGAGTCTTTCTACAGAAACTTGGGAGAAAAAAAAAAAGAAAAAATGCATGGAGGATAAAAAAAATTGACCACCAAATAGTACAAGAAATGAAAGTCTTCATTTCCTGGATAGGAAAAAAATGTGTGACAACAGTTAGAGGTGCACTAAATTGCATTTTAAACATATATTAGGTTGCTGACTGACCATATTCTACAACTACGTGTTGCATAAACATTTGATCCCCTTCAGCTATGGAGCATGGATTTTACAAGCGAGTGGATGGACATGTTACAGCACTATGTGTGCACCTCTACATTTTTTCACCTGGATAGTAGATTTAGCTCTGGAGTCATGACGTGAAAGAAACTTTTTGGAGACACTCCGTAAATATGTACTTCTGTATCTAAAACATACATAACAGGGTGTTCATACATATGTACTATAAAAGCAGAAGTCTGATTAAAATCGTCGCAAACACAGCGGCCTCAAGCACATTAAGCAAAAATGTATCTAGACATGTACTACAGGGCAAGGTGGAGAGAACTAAATCATTATCAGTCTGCTACTAAAGATAGAGGGGAAGACAATTCATATTATGGATAAAAGAGAGAGAAGGCCACACCAGCCAACAAAAGTCTCGTCAGTAACCAACAGCACTGACCGATGCATAGCTTGCAATGGCCATGGCAACTTATATTACTGCATAGTGGCAAACCTGAAATAATTCTGCAAACCTTATCAATAGTGAAGTTGAAAGACTTACCACTTCATCCCTTCCCCTCCAAACATGCTTTTATGAAGATTGCACATGAGGTCTTACTAAACATGAAAATCAGAAAACCAGGAAAGTCCTAGTTAATATTATCTTCAAATAAAGACCTGTCGTGGTTTATCCCCAGCCAGCAACTAAGCACCACGCAGCCGCTCACTCACTCCCCCCCCATCCAGTGGGATGGAGGAGAAAATCGGGAAAAGAAGTAAAACTCCTGGGTTGAGATAAGAACGGTTTAATAGAACAGAAAAGAAGAAACTAATAATGATAATGATAACACTAATAAAATGACAACAGCAATAATAAAAGAATTGGAATGTACAAATGACACGCAGTGCAACTGCTCACCACCCGCCGACCGACACCCAGCCAGTCCCCGAGCGGTGATTCCCTGCCCCCACTTCCCAGTTCCTATACTGGATGTGACGTCCCATGGTATGGAATACACTGTTGGCCAGTTTGGGTCAGGTGCCCTGGCTGGGCATGAGAAGCTGAAAAATCCTTGACTATAGTCTAAACACTACTGAGCAACAACTGAAAACATCAGCGTTATCAACATTCTTCGCATACTGAACTCAAAACATAGCACTGTACCAGCTACTAGGAAGACAACTCTATCCCAGATGAAACCAGGACAGACCTCATAAATTAAAGAATATGCAGCTGCAGAAGTAACGTCATTTTGAACACCCAGACTTGGTCCTTTTGCAGACCCATCCTGAGAAGCACTTTCAATTTTCCACTGTACAGCCTCTTTACTTTCAGTGAGTACAATGTTCATTTCTTTTGTTGTTGCTAATGAAATAAGTTTGGAAAATGGCATTTATGGTCAGCTCAGATTAGAATCATTGTCTAATAATTAGAACTAGCCTTAACTATGTTATCTACAACCTTACAAATATTTTGGGTCCACCCATGAAAGAAAACTCTCAGTTTAAAATTTCCCAGCTGTTTCATTTGCATTAAATCACAGCAAACACTTGTTAAAAAACAAACTCTACCATGACAAGACTAACATATTCTAAACATTACTCCATCTTAATGAATTATTGTTTTTCCTATGAAACTTTGTAAAAACTGCCATTCACATACTGACTCAAGTATGGTATGCAAACAATCCTTCATATGAGATGGAAAATATCTTCCTAATTGTGGACTTGAAAATATTTAAAAACCACAAAGGCAAAAATGAATCCTAGATTCATTAATGTTCAAGAGGATGGAAAATGAAAACGCGGTGAATCTTTCTTTCACCCACTTTAGGCCCTGAAGTGAAATGACCGATTATCTAAGGAGTCCACTGTGCCTTACTACAATGCCCAATATCCAACACTTCTTGAATGAAGAACAATATATAAAATATTACCAAATTGCAATTTACATATATGCACTGTATGGAAAATTACCTTCTCAAATGGAATCATAGATATTTGAGTTTTTATATTATATGTCAAACGATTGCTCTAAATAGAAAGAGAGGTCCAATTTTACAATATGTTCCTTAAAGGCCGGCAGATTTAAATAGTAATTTAGCTACTTAGTCATATGTTTAGTTCCTTGAATGAGACTGCGTTTCATTAAATATCTACAGTGTAGATATTCTCTGTTTGAGCTAGTCCATTCACTTCAGGTTCTCTTCGCAGTTAATGCAGGTGAAGCCACAGAAATCCTAAGGCATGATTTGTCTAATACTGTAGTGAACACCTGAAGTCAAGCAGTTGAATTACTGAAGTACCAGATTTTCCCCATTAAATAACAGGAAGAGTTCAGGATTAGCACCTCAACTGTAATCATTTATATCACAGCTCTAAAAGAAGGCAAGATGGATGCTACCCCAAGCTGCTACAAATTCAAGGAAGTGAAGAAGCCTCATTTTGCCTCATTTTTAACCTTATTTTGCTACGAGGCTAAAAACCTAATTAGGAAAAAACACCTCTATAGAATTAAAATAAGAAACATTATTAAAACCTACAAGGGAATAACAACTATTAATACCGATAGATTACAGAAATTGGAAGGAAGAAAAAGAGCCAGGAGAGAGCCAGGGTACTTCTAGTATCTTCAAGCCCTGCTTAAATTTTTCCTTTAGTGCTCTACAAACTCATTTCTTGTGGATGCTTTATTTATGCAAGTGGACTGTACTGTCTTCCAAAATAGAGCTTTTCATTTAGGAAGACAGAGAAAATAGGAGGCAGGGAGGGTGGGAAGGAGAGCTTTCATCTACTCTGTGCCACACAAAAATCCCAGAAGGTCTTTCTGATGAGAAAATTAAAAGCAATCATTTCATGATCACCATGTCTTGAAAGTACACATTGATTTCTGTACTTCCAGTATAACTGAAGATAAAGCAGCAAACTGCCCTAGAGAGACTCAGTTATCTACACCTTAACCTACTGTCAAATCAAAACATGTTTTAGCAATGCTTTACATGGAACACATAACCCTTAGGCAGTGATGCTAAATTCACTTTATAACAAACTGTAACATAAAACCAGAAAAAAATTGGAAGATACAAGCCCTTTGAAGGAGTAAGGGAAGCCTTCTGTTTGTTTCTAAACTAATACATATACAGTTGTGTTATTAAAGAATATATTTGAAACCATAAGTAACAAAAAATACCCACGGGGCCTTAAAAAAAAAAAAAAAAACCAAACCAAAAAAACCCCCAAAAGACTGAAAAAGGATCTGGATACAAAACAGAGAAAAAAAAAAAAATCACACGAGAAAAAAAAATTTCTGAGGAACTTTCTGTACATAAGACACAATTATCAGCTTTTGTCCTAAATGTAATTTCATAAAAGTTTTCCCCTACATTCTCTGAGGATTGTATCCTGTTCACTTTGCAGAACTTACTACATTGATAAAACGTATTATAATAAGCTTGTCCACGAACTATTGTACAACACGGCTAGGACCTGCTTATCTATGTAGAACCAAACTGTGCTGGAACTGCGTTATAGAATCTTACAACCAGTAAGACAAAGTTTTTCAAGTTGCAACCCCTGTTGCAGACTTCGTTTTGCATAATTCAATCTGAATTCAATTTTCGTTTTGTGTAATTCAAATGAGTATGAAATTCCAAATAATACCATAAATTTCTGAATAAATGAAATAAGTTTTGGTCTTACAACTCCACTGCTGAAATCCCCTTGGGATTGTTTTCTCTTGTACAAAAATTGTTACAATTGTTTCAGATTGGAGAAATATCACCTTTATGCATTTTGGGCTAATAACATCAGTTCTATAGTATATACGAAAAACCACTTCAGAGAAGACTTTGCAGGGATTATGCATCACATATATAAAATCTATTTTTTTCTATTTAAAAAATATTACGTTACTAATAATTATCCCAATGATCCCTATTTTAACTTCTTCAAGTTACAAAAATGAGGTTTAAGACTGAAAGCTATAATGCCATTTACTGTGATCTAGCTTTTCTCTTACTTCTGCTTAAAGCACAACTCGATTTCAAATGGTGCAGAAAAGCTATACCTGTATGGTGTCAAACAAATGATGTATGGATATTTATTTTGATTCTGCAACAGCCCTTTATAACTCTCCTAAATTACAAGTTATGCATGGGCTTCTGGAGTAATATTTTCTACCTGGAAAAATACTGAAATGGTCAAAATCAAACATAAAGCTACATACCAGGGGCTGCTTTCCCTACTGCATTTGCTAGTCGTTAGAGATGTGTTTGTGTGTGTGTGTGTACATATGTATTTTAAATAAAGTTTAATTCCTTTGTCATCATGTTCTGTTCTTAGATAACTCTGAAGTCACCTCACTACACTCACAATAGCGATCTGTTTCCTGTGGGAATGACTGTGCAGTTCCAAACTTCAATAAAGGATCCTGTGGGAAAACAGGTGGTCTGGGATGGGCAAAGCACTTGCGTAAATTACACAACAACAGCAGAAGATACCTGCATCAATCTTCTGGCCTCTCATATACAAGTTTTTCTAGAGAGATCTGAAAATGACATTACCTTGATTTCCTGAGGCAATGTCAGCCAGCGCAAGCCTGGGAGATTGTCTAAGAACAACGCACTGCAGGTATCATAGTGTTGAGCACTGGGACTGGCATTTGACTTGAGTCTTGTAGGCTGAAGTGCACGCTGGAAGAACAGGTTGAAAAAATGATCCAGACGAGAAACATTTTCCACCTGGCAAAAAGCACTGAACAAACATGAACTCCAAGTTAGAATAACACTGAGAAACTTGTAGCTTGTTTATATAACCCTCTGTGCTATAGAAGTGTCTTTACAGCATGATACTACATTTGGATTTTTTTTTTTTTTTGTAACGTTCACTTTAAACATGAAAAAACCCACTAGGCTAATATCCAGGCAGTACCTACAAACAAAGTAAAAAATAAAGCAGTATAGTATTATAGTAGATGTCTTAGAGCAACTTAAGATGAGACAATGATCAGCTTCATCCTTTTGGAAATCAAGATTATTCTTTTTCTTTCTCTATGGCACACACATTTTAACCCTGAATTGAATGCAAGCATATGAATAGCCTACCTTGGCAATTTTATTTAGGTTACAGTCAGAGAGAAAATTTTCTGGGTGATTTCCAAATGCAGAGGAAGACAGTCACTCCGCCAAATAAACTTGAGAAGTCTGGAGTGTTTACTTTATTAAAAATATAACACTGATTCATAAGTACGTTTTACGGACAGTGCTTTAACACAAAGCATAACATTTGCAGAGTACTGTTGACATCCACAGTGACTTAGATTATGTGAATAATTTAACCTAATCAAGGACAAAACTTTCTGAAGTAACAGACTGTTTAAAAAGAGTCTTAGTAGTGTTAAGACTGAAAAAGACAAGAAGAACAGAATTCTGGTTTTTGTGCAAGTATAAAAGAATATGCAAAGAAATTCCACGTAAACATTAAAATTAATGCTACTAGCTGTCTTTTTCAATGATAATCAATGAAAAATTAGCGACTGAAAAGAAAATACTTTTGAAAGAACTCACCTATCTAAAGAACTGTACATAAATTTCAAGGTCCTGACAACATCTTCAATCATGTTCCTCAGCTGAGCAAGTGGCACACTAAAAAATAAAAATTCAAACGTACAGCTATATTTATAACATCTTCACTATGAATAAGCATAGGCATCTTCTGAAGAGCTTTGTTCTTAACTAGCGATATAGTGCAAACAAAAAATTCTTCACCGGACTGTATGAGAGATTTACTTTGAGTGACTTGCCCGTGATGACACAGACAGTAGTAAAGCTGGGGGGGGGAGGGGGCAGAGAAGGGAAGAAGTCCTCCTAGAACAGATAAATAGGTAATATTACTGCTGTTATTCAGTAGTCTCTAATCAGGACTTGACTTTACCAAACACTAAAAATTACTGTTTTCTAGCCTCCACATATTTCTGAGATCTAAAGAGACCTTGCTCCCTTTAGCAGAAATGAAAAAGAAACTGTACCAATGGATATATAAAAGATGCGAACAAAGTCCATCAAAGAAGTGGAAGCACAGAAAGTAGTTAATGACCACATTGTAAGCCCTCTCTTTCTTGCTTTTTTGATAGAAGAGTACAATTTGAGGACACATAACAGGAAAGAAAATAAAATTAAAAGGAAAACAAAGCGTTTTATTTGAAACTCACTTTTCTTCAGGAAGGCCAATTACAAGCAACTTGTCAGATTCTTTCCAGTAAACAACTTGAACCAGTTTTCCGCATAAGAAAAGGGAGGAACTAGAAAAATTAAACCAGAAGTACTTCTGTTAACACTATGAAGTCATAAAAGACCACCATGACAAGCCAGAATGATTTATATGTATTTTATATGCAAAATCTTATGATCATGTATAATCACATGCATGCAACTGGGCTAGGTAATGATATTAATTATTACAGAACTCAAAGACTCCCCGATTTCCCTTCCAAACAGATCACACCAGTAGTAACAACGTTTTCAAGTACACAAATATAAAGGATGAACAACTGCTACTGAAGCGCCACAGTCATCTTCTGAGTGATTCAGATACTCTTTAAAGGTCTTCCTGCCTACCTTTTATCACAATCAACTTAGAAAATGAATGCCATTTCAGATCACAGTGAGGTAACCGGAGGTACTAATGAAGGTTCTCAACACAGTCACTCACAAAATCATTTAAAAAGACTCCACACGTGTTTTGAAAACAAGCCCAGGAGGTATTTGAACTTATTACCTGAGTGATAAATATAAGCTTGAACTCTCACGCTATCTCCTTGTATAGAAAATTGCTCTACATAGCTCAGCAATCCCAGAAAAACACAGAGAACTCATCTGAGCCATACAGTGGATTAGAATATGAAACAGAATTAGACCCAATGTTCTAATTTGCAGTTAACCCTACATTACGCACCAGATTATCAGATTAAATGTACTGGTTGCTGCTAAAACCAAGGTCTGTAAGTATCTCAAACATGGAATTCATAGCAAAACCCCACCTTTCTTACTATCACGTTAGAAATTTTACCTAACAAGATAACACTGCTGCAAAGTGGAAAAAAAGGTAGCTTTAGTTTAAACCTTAAAGAAGTTAATTTTTAGGCTATGGCTCCAAGATTAACTTGCTTCACTGACTCATTCATACTGTAAAATTGACGGTATTAAATAAAACAATAGTGTCATTTCATTAGTTAAGAAGTACCTTAGTATTTTTGCAGGTTTTATCCTTCATGTAACCAAAAGTGCTTTCCAAACAAAAAAAGTTATATATTTATAATGCAATTACCTGCAAAGAAATAAACATCCCCATCCCAAAAGATCCACAATACATGTGCAGACACAATAATCATCATTTAATCTTCTGACAGAAAAAGCTTCATAGCAGAGCTGGGGATTATCTATTATATTTTTTCAAGAGATGAGACAGTCCACAGAGACCAGCAGAATTGCTTTTGTATTTTTAGAACTCAAAAATGGGAAATTGCGAACCTTAACAGGAAAGGCGAAGCTACATTATCATGGATTTCTGTGTTGTTATTCTGATGATACCATTGGTATAGATCATCAAACAGCGGACTGATTTGTCTTTTGGATGTGTTTGAAAATGTCAAAAAATGCTTCTATACGGGAGCATTTCCATTAATAATGCATAAGCATTTAAGAGGTGTTAACATACTTCAGTGCTAATTAACGTGGCATTGCATTAAAATACTGGTATATGCAAAAGATCAAAAGCCTGTGTTTGATACCTGCTGCTAACGGAGTCAATCCACATCCCTATTGATCACTAAATCAGTAACATGACTTTTAGTAACTTATTAACTAGAAAGTTATAAGCATGGTTAAAGCACAGTGTTAACAGGATACCAACAAGTCTGATTGATTAAAAAAAAAACCAAACAAAAAAACACCAATGTAAGCAAAAGTAAACTTACCAGTATTAATTTTCTGGTAAGCAAAAATATACAAAAGCATTTCAAGAAACTCCTTTTAAGGAAAAATTTATCAGCGGAAAACCCAACTTAAATACATTAAACAGGCTTTTTGCCTTTTGAGGAATTCCTTATTATTGCCAATGCTATTCACTACTGCACTACTGCTTGCGCTCTGTATCCTTGGCCCTGAAATCCCACATACATTTGGCTTTTTTATACCCATCCACATCTTGTGTCTGATGCACAAGGCACTGATGTGCAGAAGAGAATCTTGCCCGAGACCCCCAGGAGATGTAAACTCCTATACTGATTATCAATGGGAAGAAGTGTGAAACTGAAAAGTGATACCTGCTATCTCACTTTTAGTTATTCCATCAGAAAAGCATCTACCTTTAAATATTCAATAATCTCTTGACATATCTCTGCCACCCCTACACCACTCAAAAACTCAGGAGTCACTTTTATTAGACTTTTTACTAGAGTCCTGATCTGTGGATACAAAAATCTTTCAGGTGTTGCAAGTTGAATGTGAAATAAAATTAATTTAAAAGTAGCAGGCACTCATGAATTTAACTGAATTACATTTAATCTTCTAAAAAATTTTTATTGAAGCTGTTGTAGAATTTCCAGTCTGCCATAGTATAGTGCCACAGAATCCCAATTTAGATAAGGATGTTTTAAGAGATCTAAGAAGGGATCTAAAAACAATTTCACTGAACTAAAAATCCTAATCATTGCCACCCATGACAAAGAAATTCCCCCAAATCAATGTACATCCAGGCTGAGCAGTCCAACTTCAGGCATGCTGTTCTAGTTAAAACATCACTGCCTAATAGGTAGAGTCACTCTTGTTTCGTCTAGAACTTGATGCATGACCCATGTGTGTTTTTCTGTGCACACGTGTATAAAGTAATACAAGTAGTAATACATGACATTTCAAATACTTTTACCTGATAATCTGGGTACCAGTAACACTTTCCAGTATGTCAGATAGTGTGAGAAATATTCCTCTCACACTTTTCAGTTTTTGGGATGCTTCTGATATGGGGTACTGATAAAGAATTTCTTGCTGTGAAGAAAGTTAGCTGTTAGTTAAGCAGAGCAAAACCAAAAACAAAATCACAAAAAAAATCCCACAGAAAACAAGATAAATTTTTTTCCTGGCATCAATTTTTTTTTGAACATGAAAGCTTTTATCATATACTTTCACATGGTATCAAAACAAGCAGTGGTCTGCACGAGGATACTGGAAAGTTCTAAAATGCACATGAATGTTTCTGACAGTTTTAACTTTTCTATAAAATAGAAAAGTAGGACTTATTTAGAATTATTATATGGAGAATTGTTTTGTGACAATTTTTCTTTTTCTAACCAGTTCTTTAAAATACATTTTTTTACGTAAGCATTTTAAAAATTTTTCTATTATTTCAGCAGCCATAAAAATATAGTAGTAAGCAAACATATGATTCTCATTTATTGCTTTCTGCCAAACCATGATGGGCCAGAAATAATGTATGTAATATTAAGCATATACAATGCAAAGCGTATAGTAAATTATCTTTCTGCACAAACAAAAGAAACACAGAAATTATTAACTTTCCTATTTATGTCACTAAGCACATCCAGGCAGTGCCAATACCCGTTAGAATATTTTCCTTCATCAAGATTAAAAGAATGTAAAGAAGGACCTGGCAAACTCTTCATTCTTACCCAATTTAATTAGCCCTATTTTCAAATACTCATTAGTGACAAGGATTTTTTTTTTCTTGAATCAACTCCTCAGCTGGAAAAAAACCTTGGCATTTTCTAATTACAGCACTACAAAGGGCTAGAAAGAGCCTTTATTTCTCCTCACTATGAACTGGGGCCTTTACACAAAATTGATTTGAGAATTATCTGTACACTCTCCCAGGGAAAGAAAAGACAACTGTCACAAAAGGTCATAGCTGTATTTTTTTTATATATAAAAATGAGTTAGCAAGGTTCAGCACATACCACCATACATGACAGTTGTCTTCAAAGCAAGGTGAAAGTTCACAGGCCAATGACAATGGAATTAATAAATGAGAAGTAACTCATTTCTTAAAAACTGTAAACCCTCCCTCAACCCAAAAAACCCAAACCTGGACAGTCTATCTAAACTAATGGCTTATCAAGCAGCTTCCCTTACTTATTCTACTAATTTCTCAAACAGAGCCTAAATAACATTTAAAAAAAAATTATTAGTGCAGTCTTGACAACCTAAAAAATGGCTAAAAGAAACTGTGTCAAAATGGTGCTGACCAGCTAAAAACTATAATCTTCACACACAGTGCACTGACAATGGAGGCTTTAAGTTGCATCGTACATAAGATTAAAAAAGAAACAGTAGATGAAAGACAACTATGAATTCTTAAAGATTAGTTCAGAAATTATAAAATCAGGGAGAAATGCTACAGGAAGTACAAGCCAGTGTCTGTATGAACCAAGCTATTCTAACAGCTACTCAGTAATACCTACTTTGCAAGCATGCTAAACACATGCTTCCAGTAACACTATCATGCAAGAGGACCGCGAACATTATTCCTTTTAAGACGTGGTATTGCCAAAATTGGTTCAAACACATAAAGATGTTATAGTTGCATGCTGGTACAAATAACGTATAATAGTTATACCTACCTTGAACTGAAACATAAAAAAGACAAGATCAACCTTACTCACTGAAACCACTATCATATGAGACACTCCCCACAGGCATGCACACATCCTCAATGATTTCTAATACTACTTTCCTTTATAGTTGAGTAGATCGAGCTTACAAGTCTTAGAGATCATTAATTCTATTTTTGGGTGCCAAAAGCTCACAAGTGGAAGAATTACTTACTAGTTCTAGTTGCCATTGTTTACATGGATGTGATCTGCATGCCATACCTCCTTTGGATACGGGTAAAGCAGCTTAGTAAAGGATCATTATATTTTTATGTGCAATATGGCATAGGTGTACAATAACTTCACTGCTAATCTGAAATATTACTGTAAACTAAATCTGGAACTGTACATCTACAGGATAAATGTCGCTTACTGCTCACCAAATGAAATTAAAGACAAATGCCTTGAAGAAGGCAGCATTCTTTTGTTAGGAAGCGTTAGAAAGAGCTTGATTACACCAGCAAAGCATTTCTCAACATTAGAGACTATTTGGGGCTGCATAACTGCCAAGACTTCGCAGGAAACAAGTCCTCCATAGTATGAAGGGCGAACAAGTGCATTACAATCCCCCTTTTACTTCTACTCAATATTCAGGGTTAATCCTGTTTCTTGGGAGAGTTTAAAGAAAAAATGGGGCAAGAAAGCAGTACTCCATTTACTCTGAAGCGCAGGACTTGCAATTAAGCATTTGTATATCTATTCACCTACCAACAGAGGAGCCAGAGGCCCTGAAATAGGTTATTTTTTGGTTTGGTTTTTTTTTTTTTTTAAATATTTCATAAAGGTTATGTGACCAGGAAAACACTAGTCTCTAACTCTACAGCAATTGTCCATAGCTGTTCTATCCACATAAAATAGCAGTCTTGGACCACAAACTTAGAATTGAAGCAAAAAAGAACTATTTGCAATATGCAAGTGAACTTTGATAAAGCATCTTAAGTTTATTTAATTCACAGTTAAATGAGCTCTTTTTATTTTTATTATCGGAAAATACCAAAGCAGAAAAATACTGCAATTATCATATGTTTTAATGGAAGCAGTCTCCAGGTGGGAAAAAGAGCACAAAATTACCTTGCCTAGTTGCAACACTATTAAAAAAAAAAAAAATTATAAGATACACTTGTATAAACTAATTTCTGCTGAAGGTACCTCCCATAAAAAAAAAGTAGTCTCGTAAATGGGATTGGAAAGAACTGCAAACCAAAGCTTACAGTGCTAGTACCTTGCTGTAATATGCAATGAAGCATACATTACCTTAAAAATATTACGTTAAGAGTGTAATTTATATTGCAAAGTTGAGTACTCCAGAGTTACGAAGTAGTGGATTTATGGTTGCCTAATAGGCCTTAATTATACACACTCATCTGTCCATCTTGTCCTCTGCACAAGACAGGCATCTTTCAGAAGAAACGTAATACTTAAGACAATATCATGCTGCGTACGTACAAAAGGGCTGAATTAAGGTTGCACAAGTAGCCATAAATCTGCCATTTCCCAGCTTTCCACACTTGCCTCTGGAAACTTCACAATGTTTTTTACACGATATTATTCTATCACGTAATTTTCTAGGGTTCTCCTCCCCAGCCCTGCCTCTAGAAAATAAAATTAAACTCCATTATGTGTAGTTGTAATACTTTTTCTCTATTACACATCACCAACAGAGCAATACAGACTTCTATCAGTTGAAAAACAGTATCAAAAAAAATAAAGACATCTCAGAGAAGGGATGTAGCACTGACTGGATCCAAGGGTTAATTTCAGGGGAGAGAGAGAGCAAAATGTCTTTCTTCTGCTTCCCACTCCATCACTCTCCTGCCATGCAGTCCCTGGGGACTGGCAAAACTTGTGCTTCATTTGATGTCTCCACATCACAGATAATATAAGATCACTGGGGCACTATGCTAAATCTAAGGAAAATTTGCAGAAGGGGAGAAGAGTCTGTTTCCAATGTCTGTTCCTAAAAAGTCTACTTTGTCCATCTGTCATTTTCAGATCAGGCAAGAGGCCAAGCTCGGCTCTCCACACTGTTCTGTGTCCCAGCGTTCTGGGTGGAGTATTTGTAGCTATGGCTACATCATGAACAACATCTACACAAACTTATAATGGGTTATACGTACACTGGCAAAATTTTTCTGAAGAACACAAAAAGGAAAGAGATGTGAAAGGAAAGCTTCACAGGACAAAGGAAAAGTACTTCAGTAGCTCAAAAATGCTGCCCAAACAAGAACCAACAAAGTTGATTGCAAACAGCAGACATGCAAGAGTCCTGTAAGAAAAGGCACATTAGCATTTCAAAACAGGAAGAGCTAGACAGATTACGTATGTGGACTGCCAACAGCTCCTGTTGGAGACAAATTTTTTGACTAGGCAGATTTCATAGTTCCAAGTGTGAGAGGCATATTGAAAACATCACAGAGAGCATCTGAGAGACAATAACAAACTTCTGAATTTATCTCTGCTTTGTCTGTTAACACCTCTAGCCTACTCTTTAGGTAAAGACATTCAGCAGCGCTGAAGTCATTTAAAGTCCAATTAGAGTTTGTCAGCAGTGATGATAACTTCTTTTCCCTGGAATTTCAGGCCTTATTTCTGTCAAACTGGACGTTTTACAGACTAGTCAAAATGATTAGCAAGGTTTTTTAATCCTTTTTTTTATTTTTACATCAAAAGACATAGCAGTTGCTGTTGTCAGTTGTTACCTTTCATCTTCAGTTTTACTTAGCCACATACCTCATCCTTAGACGTTTCAGAGTCCAGTTTCAGTGTGAGGAACATCACAATATGAGGCACATCTTGTATAGCCTGTTGAAGGTCTGTACTATCTTCTCCCCACAAGAGCCGAACCAGATTGTTCATACTTGACTGTGCTCGTTTATACCCTTGCTGAGAAGTTCCTTCAGGCTCAAATATTGATGTTTCAAATGTAAGTTTAACCTATTAAGATAATTAATTATTGTGAAAATGAGGCCGAACTTACAATCTAGTATCAGATGAAATAGATGCCGTTTGAGCCCTTGAAGAGATTAAGTTTTCTTAGCTTTACTGACAAAGACGTAAGCATTCAAAAATTCCTGTTGTTTCAAGAAAACCAATTATATATTCAGCATTACATAACCATCTATTATTAAGGACAAAGCCAGCTATTACATGCTCTATGAACCATGTGAATAAGCATGTGGTTTGGTGTGTTTTCATACTTAATTCTTACGGTTTTGAGAATGGAAAAATATACTTACTGCTCTGGGTTTGAACACAAAACCTATTACCATGCTCTTGAAACACACACAATATTTGACTTATTTCAAAATGTCAGCACTTGCCTAAGTATATATCCTCAAGGCTCTTCCATGAGCATTTCTTTGCTATTTTGAGTGCACTGACAGGTACATTTGCACAGGAAAATCAATTTACATTAGACTGCAAAAGTCTGTTAATTTGTAATACTCAGCAATTCTTTCAATCTGCCAACGTTTTTACTATGTTAACTTTCTCCTTTTTTTTAAGCTGTGAAGTCAGCAAATAAGAGTTCTGCTGCTGCATTTAACAATTGTACACAACCAGCAAGAAGCATAAAAATTGTTTACATCACTTGCTGCGCTGTGTCTTCGGAAGAAGAAAAAAAAAAATCAAAGCAAAAAACAGAGCATTCTCTCTTAAAAAATAACTTAAAGTTTAGATCATCAAGCTCACTTTGTCAAAAAAATTACATGATGTTTACTGTTCTTTATTTCCCAAATAAAGTAAAACCCAGGAATTTTAGTATAAATGCGCATTTCCTGGCTCACAAGCAACACAAAATCCAATGAACACTTCATCCTAAGTATGAAAGAAAGATATGTGAGAAATACCTAGCTCCTGACTGAGCATAAAATTGTAATTTCCAAGGAGAATAAATTGATTTCTTTTCTTGGACGATACCTTAGTTTTCATCATTGTTCGAAGTGACTGAAAATATATCTATTCGGACTAAGTAGAGGCACGCTCTCAGCTCCCCCTTTCATATGTTTTTACTCAAGATTGTTTGTCTGCCGTAAAGTATCCTTAACATGCCTATTGACTGGGAAGTTCTAAACATAATACATCACACCAAATCCTGCTTCTCTTTAAAGTTAGTGACAGTTTAGGCTAATGATTGAGGCAACAAAAAAGGTTTATATTTTCCCAGTTGCAATTACTTTGAAAAGCCCAAGCAGAGCTAATTTATACATTTAAATATAGATAATTTACATTTTTGTAATTGTGTATGTGTACAGTCATACTTAAAGAGAGGAGTGCCAGCAAGAAATAATGATGCTTTAAAACACCCACTGCCTGTCAAACTAGATCAGAGAGAAGCGCCATCATCAGCTCTTCCAGCTCCAACATTTATGTCACTGGCTGCCGCCTTCCCATTCCACTCTACTCCCTCCCAACACTTCCCATTAATCCTTTCCCCTCCTATTTTGGCTGCTATCAGCTTTTTTCTCTTCTCCCATTCTCTGGAACAGCACTGCACTCAATCCTGCTCTCCTGCCATGTGCTACCACTTTCTTTTCTGACAGTAACTCATCCCCCGCTCTCTCCTCATCATTTCAGTTTCGATTCATTACACTGCATATTAACAGGACTCAAGGAGCAGAAACATCCAGCTAAGAAGCAGTGGCTTTTTAAGACCCAGTAACTTGATCATTTGCAGTTTTATAGATTCAAGTTTTCTCCTCTGGCGTTCTGTGACTCAGTTCTCTTTCTTCGTCACACCATCTGCATGTATTTCAGAGGATTTTCCTCATACCCCGTTTAACTTCTTGCAGATTTCCTCAAGGCTCAATAGTTATTTCTCTTAACTTCTACTACATCTTGTCTGTGGACACTTATTCATGACACTTAGGCTACGGTCTCTACCCTAATGACACACAGATGGAATTCTTGCTGCAGTCTATCTTTTAGTCTCTCAATTTAAAAAAAAACAAACTCTGTCTGTCTTGTCTTAAAGACACAACCACATGGCCCTCCAAGCAAGAGCTCAAAATAAACAGGGCCAAACAGAACTTTAACTCTCCCTCCTCCTGTAGGCATCCAAGCTGCCTCCCATATCGCTGTGGGCAATACCACACAGCTCAGATGTGAAGTCACTGTATTTTGAGAAAGATCTCTCTCCACACTTTGACTACAAGTTCCTTTACAAATCTTCTGGATTCAAGCTAGCAGCTTGAAACATGAATTTTTCTGTTCCTCTCTACTGTTGTCCAAGTTCTAATCTATTTCCTACCTTAAAAAAAAAAAAAAATTACTGTGAAAAAGACCATCTAGGCTGGAAAATGCTGTAATAGAAAATGACCAAGAGACTACATATCTACATACGCTAAAAACTAATTTTCTTTTTTGTGGAGGAGAAATGAATCTTTGTCCTGAGCAGTGCACAGGATCTGATTAAATATGTGACTACTGAATTACCCTTTTGTAAATACGGACTATGAAGTCTTTCACAACTTTGATTCCATTTCTCCTAAGAAAATCCATTCAATGCACAGCAGAAAACAGAAAAGGAAATGAAATGAAGAATGGAAAAAGCACAGAAAATATTAGTATTCCACTCTATACATATATAGCATGCACACATTTGCAATACTTAGAACAGTTCTCAAAAAGAATTTAATCAAACTGCAAGAAGTGATGAAGGTGACAGTAACAGCAAACTATGAGGTACATAGATGGGGATTTTCCCTCTTAGGAAAGATGTGACAGAAGTGGAAAATGACAGAGCTCTCCAAAGTCATGGAATGATACAAAGTATAAGACACGGACAGTTAACTACTCCTCACTTAATTAACTATTCTGCATTTAATTAGATCGCAGTTTGAAAACCAACAAAAATGAGTGTAACACAAACCAGTTATGTAAATCACTGCTACAGGATGCTGTGGAGGTCAAAGAAATTTTAAGAACTAGATTAAAAAAAGATACAAACCTGTAAGTGATCCAACAAGTGCCCAACTATTGACTGCTGGAAGCTGGGTAAGTATGATGGGAAGGTCACTCTGTATTTAATTTGTTTCTTAATACTCTTTACTTAAACATTTGTCAGTGTAAGAAACAGAAAATGTAGCTGTTACACCATTGGTCTGACCCAGAAAGGCACAGTTTCTGTTTACCTGCAAGAAAGCTGTATGTCTTAGAATATGGATTTTATTATAGACAGAGCTGGTGGCATTGCCTGCCTTTTAAGACTGCCTGCCATTTCCTGTTGTAAGTCTCTGTTTTCCATGTGCTTATGGTTTGCACAACTGTAACTCAAAATTTCAGGCTGAAATTTCTGATTCTGAATGTCTGCCTCAGGCTGAATATTTTTAGAAAGTTTCGGGTAAAATGGTTCTGCAACTTCCAAGTATCAAGGTAAGGAAAAGTACGTTCTTTTAGCCTATCTTCCCCTTCCTATGCTGTCTTTGTCTTGTGGTCCTAGGAAACGGCAGCTATTTTGATTACAGAAATGTAAAATTATATAGACTGTGGAATGTAACTTTCTCATACTATCTCAAGCATTGATTGAGGGGTACGCTTTGGCCTGTCACATTCAGTGACTGCTACAGAACTTCTAAACGAGATGTCCAATGCTTTAATCAGAATTGTGACTTTATCTTATTAGGTGACATGCAAGCACCCAAACAGAAACAGTTGAGTTAAAAAAAACCCAAACAAAAAAACCCCAAAGACTGATGTAGCATTTGGACTTCTGTTGCTCAATAAATACACTAAACTAGCCCTTACATGCCTAGAAGCTAGTTTGCCTAAACTGAGGTATGGAAAACAAAAATCTGGAAATATAATGAGAGATGTTATGCCACATGCTGCAACTAAGAGAATCTAGGTAGGTAGTTTTTGAAATTACTTCCAGTAATTTTTAACACTGAACCCAGAAGGGCAGTGACTTCTCTTATGTAAATACCTTCTAAACTACAGTAAAACAGCTTTAAACTGCATCTTTTTTGATATTTTGTAACATACAGTGAACGAGAATACATTAACAATTTTGCTTGTGTAAGAGCTGTCTTTATTACTAAATCTCAGAAACAACAACCCTCTGTTTCTTCAGCAGCATGAGCACAGTGTTCTACACTGCAAAAAAAAAAAAATCGAGAACTCTGTATTTAAATTCTCCACTGGTCTATTTCAGCAATCACTCTTCTGGCTTGACTCAAACTGCACAGTAAAAAAGGAATAATTGCACTTTAATAAAAGGTTTTGGAAAGCCAACATGACAAACAGTTACACATTTCAAGTAATCGCTATCTACTTGACAGATTTACTGACAATGTAAACATTAACGTTGCATTAAAAGTAACTACTATATGAAGGGTTGCATTGCATTTTAGCAACAAGTAATATGTATACTCTAATCTAGCAAGGATACAATTAAATAAACTGCATAATCTCTGGTTTTTTAATCATTCTGTATTTAACAACAGTTACAGCAACTCCGTATTTGGTCAAAGACAGGCAAGCCAAGGTTTTTCTACCATGGAGCTCTGCCAATACCTGACCACAACTCTGGTAGCTTAGGCAAGCTTCATACTGTCAAATATCTTGGAAAGCTTCCTAAACTGACATACTAGTACTCAATCTTACTGCAGTTGTAGATGTAGTTCTACAGGCACTTACGCTACACAAGTTGCAAACAGAAGCATGTTTAACAAAACCTAAAACTTCCTCTCCTTTTTAATCTCTAGACAGTAACACACTTCTATTATTAGCACCTCATATATTCTACTGGAATAAAAACTACCAAGAGATTACAGACATACAGTAAGAGACACTGTAATTTTAACCTGCTCCATCTCATATCTGTAAATTGCAACTTTTACGTTATCTTCCTCTCCACCAAGAAGTGGATTTAAGCAGAATAACTTAAAATACTTAATTTTATGCTACTAGCATCCGAGAAAATTAACACCCTCCTGGTTTAATTCTGAAATAGCTATCTAATTCTTTATTAGTTATTTCGTTCTTCATTATAGCTCCAAAATTATTATTCAGCTAGAAGAGAACATACATGCAGTAGGTTTGGGGGGGAAGAAACATTATTCATCAGGTCAGTTCTTTGGGTTTGAGGGTTTTTTTGGTCAATTTTTATTACTGACCTCTATCAATCTTCATCACTGTTCAGGAAAGATCTTTAAAGTATTTAATATAAAAGCTCTTAAATGCTCTAGAATTTACTTTTCTATTTAAATATGAAAGCGGTATCAGTTTCTCCATTTAAATGCTCTTAAATATCTTTAATAGCACTACTTGTTAATTCAGGCTTCTTTTTATTCTCTTGTGGTTTGTGAGTCTCTTATACTGATGAAGAGGTAATTATTTAAGTATTTCCATAGCAATTATTACCGTTTTAAGAACGGTAATAGACAAAAAAGCCATTACTATTCTGCAGCTGTCATATTTATTTTTAAGCTAGACATCAGTATCTTGCTTCATACATGCTATTGCCAGATTGCACATCCCCAGCAGGAGCAAGGCGTCACAAAATTACACACCTTGTCCTTAATTTCCTGAGATCAGAGTATTCAAGATAACAACTCTCAAAGTCAGCATACTTGCCATCTTTGCCTGTAACTACAACTATCGCTGGTTAAAAGTTCATGCAGGTCTCAAAGGAGTTACGTCCCTGTATTCAACTAGAGGTAATTAATTTTGACGCAAGTGGTAACATAATAATGAAGTTGTTTTCCGAGCAGGAAAAGTAATAAAACTTGATTTTTCACGTAAGTGTGTACTGGGTTCCCATAGAGAAACATGAATATTCAGAATTCTGCAAGCATAAAATACCTTGATTCTCACACCAGGCAAAAAAAAATAATCAGGTGTTACAGTTAGTCTAAACCTAAAAGTATGATGCTACCTCGTGCACAACGTTGCATGTGCTTTCTGACTCTGGCTGATGACAAACAGAATATGTAACAGCTGGACTGTGCCTAATGTCCCTTAATGGGACACTGGCTTGAGTCACTTACTTGCACCTACCTATTTACACAAAACTTACCAGAATTGAACTCTGAAATTTCTACTCTAAGTTTGACTGAAGTCAACCAATGTGTTCAAAAAGTAAATCAGGAAATTCTAAGGAAAAGATTGTCTAAGTTCTGTTTCCTAAGGAAAAAAAGACTAGAAACAATATTAATTTTTACAGAGGACATATGGAATAAGTGTTCCACTACCGTACCTGCATAGGACCTGGAATGCAAGACAAAACCCTTTCTATGTTTTCAGAATTCACGTCAACATCATTTACAGCAACTAGAGCATCTCCTGGAGATAAAACAGACAAAAGCATGAGAAAGTTAGATGGTATTACACCACAATACAAAGCCAAACAGTGTTTTGTTTTGAAAATTAATATGGCATTCAAACAGTCATAAATGTCTTTTTGTTACATTTAAGTAGGTAGTTTCTACATGCAATATTTACTACGTTTAAAAACATTAGTCTATTACCTCATTGCTCTTAAGGCGTTACTGCCTTGCTTGCATCATTTTACAGAAATAACTGTCAAAACCTCTCCCCTCCATCCCGGCTTACATCGCTCATGTTACTTGACCAGAAAACCCAACAACTTCACTAATCAAGTTATGCCTAAGAATTACTTTTTTTCCCTCCAAAACCACCTCCAAAACCACCACCTGCCAATCCTTCTCCACTGCTGCCTCCACTGACATAAACACTACCGTTTCCAGAAGCACTCCAAAGCTCACTCTTCCTGTAGCAGCTTACAAGTTCTAGGCCACCACTTAGACCAAAGTTTTCAATTGTTGGCTGAGCCTAACTATGGGAAAATCCCACCACCCTTGAGCCCCTCTCTTTGAAGCAGTCCTGGCAATTACCGTGCGTAGTAATAACTCAGCTCAGTTCACTAAACTGGCAGAAAACCATTCGCTCTTCCTCATTTCATCCCTACACCTCCTTTGTCTCTCAAGCCACACCACAATTTAGTCCTTTCTCTTCTTTTCCATGCCTTGTCCACTGCTGTGGCTCCTTATTCTGCCCTCTTCATGCTTTTATCTGCCAGTTCTTCCTGCCCAATGACATCTTGTGCTTTCTAAATCTGACTCTCTTCCCATTACTGGAAACAAGGAGAAAAAAGCCCAGGATCCCAAAGAAAAAGTCTTTAACTGGAAATGGAAAAGGTTTGAAAAATTAAAGGCACTAGTTACGAAAGCGAACAGAACCGTATTAGAGCTTACAGACTTAAAATCCACATTGAAGTTTAAAGTACAAAAATCAAGCTGGGATTTCTATCTGAAGTGAGGGGAAATAATCTAGAGAAGTATCACAGTAATAATTAGTTGATAGCCTCTGCCTCATCCCCCTCAAAAAGATGCGTGTTTAAGCATGGAGTAAGAAGGATGAGAGAGACCAGTGAAAAAAAACACCTGTGAAGTTAGAAAACATAAAGCTAAAGTAACATCAAAAGATAAAACTACTTAGACTTCTCAAAAGGAATAGAAATTGAAAAGTAAAAATAGAAATTTTGCTTGGTCTGATATAGAGAACGAACTGCTAATTGCTTAATGATTGTCTCTCTGTAACTTTACATACCAAAGACTGGTGTTTGTCAAGGATTAAGCCTGTCAGAGACTGGTACTTGGGAGTGATGAGCAAGAAGGAACCATGAACAATCACAAAACTTAATTAAATGTTTGATAAATTTACGATCTTGTCGAGAAGGCTCAAGTAGAGGCCTTGCTTGAATAGATAGGGCCAGAAAAGATAAGAACTCCTGCCTTTGTTCTCGTCCTTGTAGATAATTTAGCTTAAACTAACCATATGGTTCTACACCACTAATGAAAACTTAGATAATAAGAGCACTAACAAGCACTGATGTATCAAAACATGTAAAAGACCATACTGCGCAGAATCACCTGAGGAGGGTCAAATAGCGGACAAGTGAGGAAGACTATGGAAGACCACCAGAGACCTTCAATGCGCCTGCGTAAAGGACATTTGCATATGCTAATAGTTTCCTGGAAAACTAATGAATATGTATAACATTTCTCAGAAATCTAGTGAATATGTATGTAGAACATGTACTTAACCTGCACAATTAGACCCGACGGTGTGCACAATAGGTGGAGCGATCCCCCGTGCATCCAGCACTGCCAATAAAGAATACCTACTTAATAGTTAATCAAACTATTGAGTTAATTTCTTTGAATCAG